TGGCTGGAGAACTGGAGAACTGGTGAACTGGTGAGCAGGAGAATCGGAGAATCGGAGGAGCGGCAAGAGAAACCACCTCAACGCTGTGGAATGCAAACAAAAGCTGCAGCCACGATTCCCAGCGATTATAACATCGGCTAACGACTGGAGAGGCCATTAGCCCGAGCGCTAGGCCCATGGCTTTGGCTTTGGCTTTGGCTTGGGCAGTTTAGGAGGAGAAGGCTTCCCAGTCAGAGAGGCCTCTACGGTAACTCTCTCTATCTCTCGGATTCCCCCGCATTCAAATCTCTCCCTTTCTCTAGCGACGACGCCTGCGCTTAACGTTCTCTGGGTGGTTGAGCTGTGCAATTCCAATGACCGCGAAGTTTCCGAGATGCACTATATTGGGTGAAGTTATTGCCGAGATTCGGGGACAGGAAAGAGAATTTTGAATAGCAATACTATTTGCTATAGCAGAATATTTATAACACATTTTCAAAGTGATCATTTATACTTCAGTTCTAAATATTTATATCATTTTCTAACAATTAAATTGAATTTTAATAAAATTATGTTATATCTAATCATTTTATTTATATTTTTTGGAATATTAGGAAAGCGCTTTTTTTGCTGATCAGAATTAAAATTAGCTGACATTTTAATTTAATAAACCTTTTTCATTTTCGACTATTTTTAAAGAATACTTAATTAATTGTAATACATTTTAATTATCCAGTTATTAATAAAAAGATATTTATTTCTAAAACTTTGCAGAGAAAAAAATGTTTTAGTTGGAAATATATATTTTTTTTAATACATACATTCGGATTTCATTACATTTTCGGATTACTAATTAATAAAAGGTTATAAATTCTTAATTTTTTATATACAAAATAGCAATTTAAAAAAAAATTCATATATTTGATCATTTTAAAGATATTTTAAGCTACTCTTCACAAACAGCAAACTTATGTCCCTTATAAAACTGTAAGACTACCCCACCGTAAAAATTAAGTAAGGTACTGGAGTGTTCGTCGTAAATATGCAATGCCAAATGCCAAATGCCAGGGTTAAGCCAATTAGTTAGATGTGAAAGTTGGCATTGCATTCCAGAATTATTAGACAAAGTTGGAACAAAAATAGACGGAAGAGAAACTGAAGCCTTTGGCTTGGAGCTTGTTGATTGAAAACTTACCCACAAATTATGCGCTAGCGAAAACGTGTTTGGCTCACCGAGCTGGGCATTAAGTCAACCGAACTCACTTGTGGCTAAGAATCCGGGAACAGGGAACTGCGATTGCAACTCGTTCTGCACATTATGCTTATTTATTTTTTGTTTTTCCAGCGATAGGCAAAGGCAAGACCCATTAGTAAATGTGGGAAGCAGCGGACGTTGGTCGATGGCAATATACTTTGTTCAGATAGCATCGACGCCGGTCGGTTGGATGGTCATTGAACCGTCAAACGGACAAGTACTTTTTATTTAACCCCCAAAAGACCGGAGGCGGAAAACTCCAAGTGCCCAAAAAATACATATCCTGGTGCCAAAAGTCGCAGTAGATTTCCCTTTCTACTGCTGTCTGGAATCTACGTTCTCGATGCTTCGGTACAGTTTCTGCCAGCAGTCTGGTTGTGACTTCCAGCTCCAACCCAAACTCCTACTTAGAATATATATATCTCCGGGTTCTGCTGCTCCACTACCCCAAAGCTTCGGAAAGGAAATACTGTTCACAGTTGTTTTGCTGGTGTTGGTTGCAAAAAGGAACAACTCGAGCTGCTCTGTACAGTTATTTTATCTTAAAAGCGGATGTTTGAAACTTTTCAAACTTTTACAAATATTGGTACCTAAATAAGCAGCCATCTTTTAAAATTATATTAGTTAATTAAAACTAAAATAAAACTACTTTCAGCTTTTATAAATTTAATTTATTTTAAGAAAACTTCCGAATTATATGCCTAAAAATTTCGTTGTGTTAAAAAAGCTTTTATTTTAGCGTTAAAATTTTTTCATTTAGTTCATAGTTATTACATTTGTTTATTAAACATGCCTTCACCTTAATAAAATCATAAAATTGCATTTTGTCACCCATTATATATAAAACTGTTTAAATAAATAAATGTTATACAATTATATTAACTATTTATACTTTTCATATTTTCTTTTTCGAGAAAAGTTAAACCTAGCCAGCCTCAACTTATCCAAACTTAGCCTGGCTCGAAATCTAAATTCAGCTAAATGGCTGACACCAAATTGGTTTATCAAAACGAAATCAGATTTATGGCGCTGTTTACTGGAAACCCAGAACCCTTGTCAAATGCTGATTACCCATAAAACTCCAAAAAAGCCAGACGATGAATTGCAGTCCACAGCTGCTGTCCTGCCCAACTCCTTCAAAGGAGCAATAGAGAAGGCGAAAAAGGCAGAAAGAGAGAGAGCGAGAGAGCGAAAAACCGAAAAAGCATTCCGTCGTTTTTAGCTGGCACGAACAGATCAATGACCTGCATTTCACAGCCGGAGACACAATTCAATCGATAAAAGTGAAGAGTTGGGGCACCGGCTCACACAGACACTGCACACACACACACACCAACTTCGGGGCACACACACTGCACACACTGCACACACACACACACACACACCGAGGAAAAAACAACATGGCGAACGTGAAATATGCAAGCTTCCTGCAGGAAAAGCCAAAATGGCAGACAGCATGCGGCGAACGTGACGCAGTGCAGAATGTTTGCTGGGATCGGGGGTGAAGAGGGGGTCAAAAGGGGGCCCAAAAGGGGTTGGCAATGTGGGTTACTGCTGGGGTCAGAGGCGGTGGTGCTCCAGGGGTGGCTGTCGCTGCAGCCGCAACGGAACTTTCTAAAATTTCTAGAACAGCAGAAAACAGGAAGGACGTAGAATATGGAACGAGAGTGAGGCTCGAATATTTTATTCCATTCAATCAAAGCCACGGGCCAAAAGGGCTGATTAAAAATTCAGCACTCATAGGGGGGGAATACAACTATCCTGGCCAACATCCAGCAGAGTTCCCAGACAAAGAGACAGACAGACAAAATAAAAAGGGAATGCAGTGAAGCGTTAAATAAAATAGCAACAAACATATTCATATTAGCAACAACCCCACAACAAACGCTTAATCCATTGACTGTTGTCTGGGCCACCGTTCTCGTACACCCCCAAAATCCCCATAATTCCCATCAAGCTGACCAAAATGTAGACAAAGGTAATGCATAAAAAGTTTTTGTCAACTTTTTTTTGGGGTTTACCGGGAAACTTACCGCCTGTCTGAGTGCTTTTCGGGGTTGTTGATGGCCAAACGGCAAATTAATGATATTTTTGAAGATGTACTTTAAATGCTTTTTGATTTTTTCGACACTTTTAATTTGGAGCAGACAAAAATTTAAAAATTAATTGTTGCTTACCCATTTATAATTGTTTTACAAATGAAAAGTCCTTAGTTGTCGACAGGATTGTAGCCAAAGAATATAGACAGGAATATCATAATACAAAGGCATATTAAGTACACAATTAGAAATCCAAAAGTTAGGTATACACAGGCAGCCAAAATAACTAACATTATTACTATCACGATTAAATTTGCATTGGGGCGACTTTTTGTGTTTGTTTAAAAGACCTACAACCGCGGTGAAGAGTTTCCCTCATGAAATACTAGCATATTACAAGAATTTTTTTTTGTATGTAAGCACATTTTATATTTTGTTTTCAAACTGACATTTGTCACATGGAAATCGATACCTTATAACAACTTTGAGGGATTCGAAAATAACTTAACAGTTAACAATTTTTGAAAAAGAAGTAAACAAATCATGTAATGAACAACCGATCCTTTTTTTATTATGTTTTAGCTTAAAAAGGTAAAGTAATTTTAAGTAATAAGAAATATTATAAAACATTTGTGACGAATGGTAGAAAAGTATTAGCATACCTTACACATATTGTTTCCATATATATATTTTTTTGTACGCAAACGTTTGTATCAAGCAACTATAACCCATATACCTACAGGAACGATTAAATGATAACGTGGCGCATTGGAAATGGTGTGCACATCGTTAATTGATATTTCGTAAAATTCATCATACCACCCGTGGGCCCTGGGGGTATGACAAGGCAATTAGCCTTACTAACACACTCCCACGCCACATTTTTTTTTCGGGTTGCGTATGTCGGTGTTGTTGTTGCTGTTGTTGTTGCTTTTAATGTTGCTTTTTGAGTTGCGCTCTGAAATGAAAACTGCAGCGAAAGTCAGGACATGGAAAAAAGCGAAATTTTTTGCAGTCATCCCGAAAAGTGCAGCCCTGCAAAATCTCTCTCTCTCTATCTCTTTCTACGGTTCGCGCTCCTTCTCACTCTATCTGAATGGCTTCCATCTCTGTCACTTGCAGACACAGACAGTGTGAGAATGGGATTTGCAAGGGGGCCTTCTGTTTTCTGTTTTGGGGAGTTGCCCTGGAGTTTGGGACTCTACTGTCTGGCTCCCATGCCCAAAAAACTGGGTTTCGAACTCCACCCGCAGAGTTGCTATGACAACCAACCGATATTCCAGAGTCCAGACTGGGTGTTGCCAAAACCCGGCCCTGAAAATACGAGCAAAATATCCAACTTCTCCCCCAAAGCGCAATGGGTCAGTGTACAATTATTTTGTCAAAAAAAAAAGAAATCAGTAGAGCGAAGGTTGTGGTGGGAGTTATAGGTGATAAATATTGGACTAGTAACTTAAAATAACTTATTACAGAATTTATGATCGCCAAATAAAATATTTAAAATGTTTCTATCACAGAAAATCCACAAAACTTACAGAAGTAAAATATGAACAGGACATGAATTTGAATTCTAAAAACTATTATAATAGTTTTTTGTTAAGTAACATGCAATTGAAAGTTGGTTTCTCTAATTTTTTAGACCTATCTTTTTGCACTTCAGATATATTTTATATACGAAATCATGCAAATATATCAGAAAAATACTCAATAAAATTTCCGTAAATAAATAAATTGTAATGTTTGGTTTATTGTCTTTGCGGTGTTCTCGCTACTGGTGGTAATATGCCAAAGTAGCCACTACCCATGAAGATTTGCGGTTCAGCAGGGCCACTGCCATCCGGATTGGTCTTCCAAGTGATCGTGAGACAGGGCTCCCCCGATTTGGGGTCCTTGGGAATTGTGATGTGGTAGTTTTTGGCATCTTCCGCCCTAATATTATGTTTAATTAGGAAAACTGGTCTCTGAACTGGCGGCAGTTGTTGATGAGTTGTTTGCTGCTGAGTCGAATTCACTAAAAAGTGGGCGGGATGTAAAATAAATAAATATAGTAATTTTATTTAATTAATTTAATGTGTGAAATTTAGTATTTATGCTCTAAAACAGTTTATTATCTTGATTTCTATTTTAGGAAATATCGTTGATAACGTTTAGCATAGTGTAAATTTTAAAACGTAGAATATTGAAGGAATTTATTATCGAATTTCAAAAATAGCCCCTATATTCCGCTTCGAATTTAAACTTACATGGCTGGCTCCATGTGCAGGCAATCAGCAGCGAACAGAAAGCCAGAAACTTGTGCAACGTCTCTGATTTCATAATTTATTTATATGTGGGCTATGTGGAAATATAAACAAATACTGTTCTTGTCTGGCTTCCTATACTAGATGCAGCAGTTCTATATTATCTCCCGATGCCAAATACGTCCTCACTCCAAGCGGTCTTAGCTCAAACTGTTCGATCGCCTGAGAAGCTCGGGATTATTGGGCTCTCACTCTCCGGCATTATCTACCTGGTATTCACTGGGCTACTTATCAACTTTTCCTGAATGAAATGTATTTGTAAACAAAGCTCAACGCAGTAGCATCGATCCCAGATTCTGAATCGGGAGCTGATAACGGATTTTATATGTCTCTGAGAACAAAGGAAAAATCTCTGCACCAGTTTTTTTATGGGGTCATCGATTGCTCAAGACAATTGGCACAATCGGGAAGATAGGCTCGAAAATTGTAAAATTACATATTTTTAAGTTTAAAATTTTTTACTTGTTTAAGAAAAAAAAACCAATTTGAATCCACCATTTTTTAAATGGGTTATCTTAGTCTTTTTTTATGCATACGGTTTTGTCTTACAAATTTCAATGTGTGTTAATTATTATTTGCCCGTTTTAATATGAATGATATTTAATTCGTCAGTACTTAATATTTTTCTATTAAAAACACATCTCTGTTAAGCTTAACATTTTTGCTATTATGTAAACCTCGTGCTGTTAACTGCTTGAATGTGAACCGCTTGCTTTTAGTATGCCAAGGAGAAATACTATACAAATAAAAACTAGGAGACCCGGCTTGTTCATCCAAGTTTCGAACCTCGTCGGAAATCCGTGATTTGTGCTCACACAGTCTCCACAGAAAATGATTTAAAAATAATTAATATTTAAATAATACAAAAAAACGGACCCCAAAAATTAATTCCTCCAATTATATTAATTTTTAGCTTTTATTTATTATTTTCTTAGCTTACAAAGAAAAACATGAAACACATTTTTCAATTAAATTACAAAAAACTAATCAAACAAGCTTAGCAATTAATCTAAGTGTCTTTAATAGTGAAATCTTAGCGCAACAATTATTATTATCCATTTAGGTTGATTAACGCTTTTAAATTAAAGTATAGCTAACAATAACATATAATTATCGAATCTATTTGAAACTCGCTCATTTTCGCCTTGACTTAAACTTAATTATAAATAACAAATTGTGTCGTTTTGATTTTTATGTATTTTACAAATGTTGCTTTATAATGCTTAGGCTTAGTTTGTTTCTGTTAGATATGAATATTGCAAATTAATTAAATGTAGGTTGGTATTACAGAGTAACACGTTTTCGTGGCTAATTCTTTCCAATGTGCGGGGGACTGGGCGGGGTCTCAAGGGCACTTGGGGAGGTATGTATATTGAAAATCAAATACTTCTGGGGAAATTCAATTCGAATTAAATACTCTTGCCTTGCCCGTGGACGGAAACCGTTGCTTACAGAAATATTGGCCAAGGCCAAATGAATAATATGCATCCTTCTTGGAAGACAAATGAAAATGAATTTTCAATTTGCAGTTTGGGAATTATCAATTAATTAATGACGGACACTTCAAAAAGATTCTAACCTTAATCTTGCTTTGTGTCTTCTTTTTTTGCTACTGTACACAGTCTTTGTATGTATATATTTTTGTTTGTTTTTTCCGTTTGCTGCTTGTTGAAGGGCTTAAATCTAAGTGGTTGAAACCATTTTACACCTCGGTGCTGTGCGTCTGAATGCGGACCTTCTTCACGCTTCCATTGCGCCGCATCGGTGGCGAACTTCCGGATCCGGAATAGCCGGGATTTTGAATGCCCAGCGTTGGATCCGGCCGGGGTCGGGGTTTTTTCAGACTCGATCGCAGTGGTGATCGTGTCACTGAGTCGAGGGTTGACCCATTGGAGACGCTGGTCACCGTCGTGCTCATGGAGGCCACACTGCCAGCCGTTCCCGCTCCATTCCGGATCCCACTGTACGGCTTCCCGGAGGCGTCTGTCACCGAAACGCCGTTGCGACTGCGCGGCTCCTTGAAGCCCGGATTGTTGAACGTGGTGGCACTGCCCGGAGATGCCGCATCCAGCGCCATCGTCGGATCTCCTCCGGGACTGCGCGAATAGATCACATCGTAGAGGGCGGCAACGAACAAAGCGATGGTCAAAACAATCGCAACGATCTGTAAAATAAAATGCAACAAATTAATATAAGCATAAACAAATACAATAGGCAATCAAAGGGCGAAACTTAAAACCTCTTACGTTGTATTTATTATTATAATTAACTTTTAACTTTAAATGGCCACCAAAATTAATAGTATTCAATGAGTGTTCAACAATGTAAAAGAGAGTTTATTAAGAATAAAGATCTACGGGTATATACTTATATACTTATAATGTCAGGTTAAGCTTTGACCAATTATGTGTAATCTACATAAAAAGAAACAACGCTTGAATTATTGTTAGTTAATTGCAAAAGAAAAAAACTAAAAAAAAGACTTCTTAAGTATATACCATCTAAGAGTACATCTATAATTTCGCCTGATTGCTGCTCACGCAACTGCATGAGTAATTAACTATAAATCACCTGTATATAGAAGGAAATGCCCCGCGATATCTTGAAGCCATAGCGCTCCTGCTCATCAATTTGTAGAGCAAACAAAACCGTCGCTATGATAGCCAGTACACCTGCAAAAATGGCAATTAAATAATGTTTCTTTATCGCTTCTAGTCAAAGCCATCGGAACTCACCTCCCAGCAACGCCAGCATTAACTTCACTATCACTAGAGTTGTATAGGGCAATACCACCTTCTCCCTAGATGAGATCATCGCGTGTTGAATGACCGACAGAATGCAGAAGATGCCCAGCACAGCTGAGCTGCCAATGGCCAGGAGTCCACTGACAAAAACTGCATCTAAAATGGAAAATGGGCAAATTAATATTTATTTAAGGCATAGCAATTGCAGATCTGTAAACAAAGCTTGTTAACAGAGCTTAACAATTGTCTTTCAAATTTGCTTTTATTTTATAATTATTTGTGGTTTTTGTTCCCTTTGTAACTTTTCAAAATATATTTATTATTTAATTTTTAAATAATAAATATATACATTACATTGTAAATTTATAAACCTCTTAACAAACTACCATTTTTTAGTGTATTTTTTATAGCAGCTAACTTAAAAAGCACCACAACTAACAATTTTAGGTACTTACTGCTTAGCCTAAACTTGGATACATCGTTGCCGCACTTCTCGCGGTTATACGTCAATTGCTTGCAGACCTTAAACGGCCCGAAATAGCCTCGATCGAAGTCATAGCCGCCTGTTAAATGAAAAACATATTAGATTAATCAAATTAAAAATATTGTACGGTGTTCACTCACCCGATGGACTATCATAGTATCCCCAGATGGGTATGCCAATGGCCACAGATGCCAAGGCGAAGCATACAAACCCGAGACAGGTCACCCCAGCAGCATAAAGTGTCGACTTTGCCATGTTTTACTGTACAGCATAACGATAACAATGCAATTGAGATCCAACAAGCTAAAAAGAAAAACGAACAGACATTAGCATTCTTTTCCAGCACTTGTATAAATAATGAAGAAATCATTATGCCAAATGATGTCAAATGGCTATTAACTTTGAGCTACATTTGCCAATCCAAACGGAAAAAAAAGTCATTGTCAAGCGCATTTGGAATGAGAACAAGACGATAAAGAAGCTTAGCTGTTACCCGAAAATCTCCTTACATGCATTAGCAAATATTCTTACAGGGGACCCACCCATATGACATGCTACTTGTGCCTCGAAACACACTTTGTCATCCTCGCATCGAGCCGTGTGTTCTCATCACGAACAATTAGATCCCATTCATACATAAAGAGCTACTTGCCGTTGACCTTGAGATTGCATAAAAAAAAAGACCAAGAAAAAATTGCTTACGCAGAGAAAAATCCATCTTTGTGTGGGTAACATACGTATTTGTAACCAAAAGATACACAAAAGCTCTCAATTCAGTTTTTCTCTGTTTGCGTTTTTCTGTAAGCGGATTTCAGCCATAAACCGATTTCCTCTTACATGTAATTAAATGGCATTTTATAAAAAAAATTCTCGAGTATCTATATCTATAGCTACCCCTAAAGACAGACTCAACGCGAGGAATGCCAGTTATTTTTTGACAGCGCTCGGCTAATTGATGAGCTATTAAAGAGTGCGGTGCAAAAATAGCATTTAAGAGGTAATTGCCATAACGAGATCAACTGGGCGTATACGTATTTTTTAAAAATATAAGTGATCTGGTGTATTGTAAGAAATATTGGAGTATAAAGATTGCATGTTAATAAGATATTTAAATACTGTGGCTATTAATGTTAATTTAGGTAACTAATTAATTATCAAAATAGTAAGTCTTAACTAAATGATTGTGAGGAGTGTGATCCCATTACTGAAACAGAAATTATTGAAATTGAACATGTAGATTATTTGCTATTAAAATTAATACATTGTTTTCTTTAAAATGTTAAATACAATTTTTCATATTGACTAAAACTAATATTATATAGGCTGTTCCTAAAATCTTGGTCTTATTCGTATTTGAGTGTTCTTTAAGTACAGTAGACTCGTATACATCATAAATATTTTATTTCGTTTAAAATTTACGTATTATATTTTCTTTAGCAACTATTTTATCCATTTATAAGTCATAATTTGTCTTGTGGAATCTTTTCTACGCATCAACTGAAGAACCTCACTGTGAATGTCTACTACCTTCATGCTAATAAACTTAACAACCTTCTCAATAAGCCACTCAACTTCCCAACTCCCCGCGTAGTAGCATAAATAGTATCACATGCAAGTAAGTTGAGAGTCCTCGGTGACAGCGAGCGATCGCAGCGAGCATTGAAATGCCAGAAACCAGAAACTAGAGACACACACTTAGTCACTGCTTGATAAATCCAAATGAATCCGAGACGAGGTTGCTTCATCTTGGCAACTGAATTGGAGTGGCGACTCCGATTTTGACGATGTTCGCCAGACGCTGTTTGTTGCTCTTAGCGGTAAACAGTCTGTCGAGGGAATGCAAACGCGAATCTGGGGGCGGGGAATATGTGCCGTCCGCCTTAAATTACCCCAATGAATGCCGCTGATGGTTCTGCTTCTTGACTCGAATGTTGGCCAAGAGGAAGGCTCGACTTTGCTCGCTGAAGTGGAGCGGAGATTTCGAAAAGTTCTTTGGAGATTTGAGCCCAGATTGGAAAATCAAAAGTAAAAGCCATATATATTTTATAGCATTGAATTTATATTTGTTCACATCGCGATGTAGTAGAGTAAATAAACTTAAAAGTATGTCAACTAACAATTTTACCAAGGTGCCATAGAATATTTAAAATAAATTTACAATTGATAGTACCCAACCGATAAGTAAGTAAATTGTTCTTCCATTAATGATTTAAACTTAATATTTCTCTGAGATATTACAAATATTTATTGATAAAAACAAAAACATTAAAGATACAAATTTGGGCGTCTGGCTTAACTTTTCTCCAATTCTAGTTTTCTTTTTCTATCTACGAGTTCATTGTGTTCTATTCTTTTTGCTCCTCCCAATTCATTCTGCCACAACTTTGTTGTGGGGCTAACAAATGGCAGGTAACCTCCGAGTCGAAGCTCAAGCCAAGCCAAAGTCAAAGCAAGAGCCAAATAAACAGCTAAAGCCAGGCCAAGTCAAAGTCAACGGAATGAACTTTTCTCAATTGTGTCACGATTTTCAACTTGCATAAATTTCCGATGAGATACGATACTTCTCTCCACTTCCTTTTTGATCCACCACAAAATAAAGACCCGTCGCGTGGCCTCTCTTATTTTTTGTCTTCAGCCTCCTTTTTGGCCATCACATCGGTGATCGTGTGTAGGTGGTCGAAAAGACCGAGTGAGGGTCCAAAAAGCGGTGATCGGGATTGGGGACTGAGTTACGGAGCTCTGGGCCATTTTGATTGCCCGGCGTGATTCAGAGGTGATGTGCATATGTTTTTATGATTTACAAGCCGTGCGTTGGTGTGAAGAGAAAATGTACAGTAAACATGGCTTGAAACCAATATAAAAAATTCTTACAATTTAATTGCAATAAAAAAGGCTTTAATTAATTAAGAAATATAAAAATTTAGAAAGTAGATTGGGAAAAAGATACGTATTTTCTTTATTAATATATTTTAAAAATTTTTAACACAAATCAATTTTAAGTTGTAGGATTTTGGTTTAAAGTTCCAAATTTTAGTCTTATTTAGAGTGGTTCGCGGTAGAATGGTTCTACTGTTGATGTCAGATATCTTGGGTGCCGCTTATTGAGTGGCCAACACGACTGGTCAAGCCACCAAGTGTAATTGTCAGCGGGCCGTCCGAGCCAAGTCAACCATCGTAGACATTGCTACTTCGTGTGGCAGCCACTTCATGTGGGTTTCCCGGTCTTTCGGTCTTTCAACCCAAGCAATAATCATGAATCAAAACTTCAAAGACAGAAAAGATCTTTAAATCTTACAGAAATATAATGTTGTATATTATTAACATTTCTGCTTTTAGATGTTAACATTTTTTCCAGTTCATTTATCCCCAACTCAAATTATATTTTTAACAAACGATTGCATTGCATGTTTTTGTCTAAATAGAGCAAAGTTCATTATTTAATACTTGCAACTAAGACGTAGTTGTATATATATAAGTACATATTAAACTCGTAAATCCTTAAAAAAAACACTCATTGTCAATTGTCGTGCTTGGGACCCATTAATACCGACTTAGTTACTTCGATTCGACTTATCTCTGACACAACTCCCAACTTAAAGTTCAACTCGAACTTTTCCATTAGCATTTCAAAACCGTCCGCAGCAACAAAACCAAATCAATTAACTTGGGAAACGAAAGCCAGACAAATAGAGCAATTTAACGGAGATCACAGTTAACTAAAAAAAAAGAAAGGCCAACAACCTTCTGAGAACTGTCCAGACCTAACCAATTTACTCCAGACCCATTAGTTTCACTCACTTAATCAACAGAATGCGCAAATTTTTCCCGACGAAGGGCCAACCTAGCGCAACCCAAATAAAAGGGAACTTAGACTAATGAAAAGTCGCTTTTCCGCGGAAATTGGGTCACCAGTGGAAAGCGAGACAGCCGGACCAGGAACCCAGACGGGAAATTTACTTCAATTTGTCGGCCGGCTCGACTGGGATCGAATCGCACGCCTGCAAATCAAATGGAAAAACGTGTCGCGGACTCTCTAATGGTGCCCCTTACCTTTCCACCCCTCGGCTCACATTTCCTCACCTTCATTCTCCACCTTTCTGCTATTGATTTTCACCCGAATCGTGGTTGGAATTATTGTTTGATTTTATTACCCTGGAATCCAAAGGTTATATTTTTAGATCTAAGGAGAAATGGTACTCATTTATATTTTTCATTTTTAGATCTTAGGAGAAATTGTACTCATAAGTAAATTTTTTTTTAGTTTCCATAAAAAAACCCTGCACATGTTTTTAATAAACAAACAAAAAAATAACTTTCAAGACAATAAGTGTATTAATTTAAAGAGATAAAAAAAATTATCACATGAATTATAAATATACAAAAATATTATCATAATAGAGGATATCTCAAAGTTGGTAGTTAAAAAAAGCATTCAAAATCGTTGTTAGTTGGCAACGCGAGCTAAGAATTTTCCGTGCTGTATTTTCTTTGCTTTGTTTATGTTTGGCCGCACTTGTTGCCATGGCAAAGTGCAAAACAGGCCACAACAGCTGAGGAAAAGTTTGTGCTGTTTCTGCCTTTGCTGTTGCCTTGGAAAACTGTGCAAAATTGGGCACAGTTGAAATGCAATTTGCTCCTTCTTTCTTTGGCGTAGTAAACACACACTTTGCAAGCCAAAGTCAAGTGAGGTTTAAACTTGTCTTAATTGAATGACAGAACAGGTAACTAACGAAATTAGGATTTACTTTGTTGACTCGAATTGGTAAGGTATTGGTTGAGATTTCTTAGTGGTTTAGGGAATGGATAAAACAATACATAAAAAACACTTTTGAAAGTTATTGGACTTTTTTACAAGAACAAAGTTTCTTAAAGCATAATTTTATCAATTTTTTACTCATATTATGAATATACGGTTTTAAAAATATGGACTTTTACTTTTAAAATACAATTTTATTTAAGCGTTCAGAAGTACAGTTTCGTTTTCTTTTGTTTGTATGTAATTGTCTTATGTAATTGATTGTGATTATTTTGAAATCTTTTCTTTCCTACCATCAACATAAGAATTGATTGAAAATCAAAATTTAGAACAAGAGATATCCGCTTGGAAGCTGAATAGAAAGCAAAGAAATAACTTCCGCTAGATAAGAAGATCTCAGAAGCTATTTATGAAGCTCCAATTTCTGAAGAGAAGACAGATTCCCAGGCCACCGAGCACAAAGAACTTGCATGCTAATCTCTGTTCAAATACAATTTATAACTTGGGGCGAAAGATAAAACTCAGGTAGGTCGGATGGTCTTGGAAATGGGTCATACTTGTTTCTAGTAATGGAAATATGTTAGTCCAAACTGTATTCATCTTCGTTGGCATCTTTCCTGCTGGGTTCGTAATTGCTGTTCTTGTTTGAGATGTGGTTAACACATTTCACTTCGGGCTGCCAACGGAAACTCCCGTCTACTGTCTCTGGTTTGATCCCTATTTTCCACTCGCTTCTGTGTGAAGATTTTCACGTTTCGTTGAATTGTGAACAACTTTTACTTTGCAGCCGCTTCTTTAAACAATTCGTTTTTCTTTATTTGGGTGAAAGTTTCTGCTTGACAAAAGCCCTAGACGCAATCTATATGCTTGCGATCTCATTCGCTCCCACTCAGCCAAAAGTAGTTTAGTAAACTGTCAGCGTTTTTCATCTTTTTCTATACTTTTCAGCTAGTATTTATCTATCGTTATGACAAGCGTGCAACATGCTGCAAGTGCGACAAGTTGTGCAAACAACAATCAAACTGCCAACGCCCTCAAAAACTTGTTCGCCAGCCCTTACACTGCAAAAACAAATACCAATTTTGTAAAAAAAAAAAAAAAAAAAATGGAAATGTTTATCCTATTCGTTTTCTGCTTAAATCTTGAAATCTGGTAAAAACTACTAAGCTAAAATTCGCTCCACCTGAACATTTTTAAAGAATTAAAAAAAAATTGTGTTTAAACAAAACTTCCGTGAAAACTCCAACATCATCTTTAGCTGAGAACAAAATTTTATGTATGGATGGCGATAAGTGTAAGAACAAACTATTTTCAGGTGTAGGCATCCCACAAAGTCCTACTGTTTCCCAACCCCTTTTCATATGTGTGTCAGACATTGTCATTAGGCAAAAAGGAGGAAAAGTGGGAAAGCGTATGCCGTCCCACTGCTGAAAACAGTGTGTTCTGTGACCAGCTGTTGGTGTTCCACTTAGTGTCTGTGTTCCATCTTTTCCACCATCTCATCCCCCCCATCACATTTAACTGCCCCCACCCATGTCATGGTTGTTATGTTGTTGCATAGGTAAAACCGTTATTTACATAACATGTGCTGCCATTTACATTAAACGGTTAACCATCTTCTTTGGCCGAGTCAAACAATTAAGCATAATTGCCATGAGGCAGGCAGCAAAAAGGAAGGGTAGAATATGGCGACAAAGGGGCACAATTTGAGGAATTTTTAGTCAGGTCTTAGGTATTACGTCTAAGAGGTGGGAAAACTTGAATGTATATAGAGTCTAAACAGTCGTGTTCCAACGTTTTACGATTAACTCAACTTAGTTACAAGTAAGGCTGTAAAACGGACAATTTTATGAGTTTTATGCATACCCACGTATGGATAAATTTTGTTAAGTGTTTAGCAAATATACTCAATTCAACGCAAACCCTTCCAATTTCATCATAACCATTATCTGAAATGGTTAAAAATGTTGAGAAGTATTACAATTATTAATAAAAATACTCCTATATTATAATTTATAACCAAAATAAGAGCTTTTGGCTTGGCTAAAATGTTAAATACTCAATTTGATTATATAGTTTCTATATGGAGCATATGTACATATTTATTTCTTAACAAAATACGCCCGATTTTAACTAATTCTAAAGATATCTTAGGTTAAGCTAATGTTATGAAGTGTAACCCAATTTGATCTGCTTCAATTGCCACCCAAGGCGATACTAAGACGTTCTGCATTAATATGATGGCCCATTGTCGTCTATTCATTTAATTTGCTTGTGCTAATTTCTCGCTTGATACGGCAAAAGTCACACGAAGAGTCAATAGAAGCGGACAGATTGAGGGATAGAGGTACAGGGGTTTGGGGATCGGCCCGTGGATATGCTTCGGTCGATTCAATAAAGTCATTAGCTAAAGTAGCCAATGCATTGGGGACGTTCGCCGGTCCATGATGAGAGCAGAATGGAGCGGGTTGCAGCTCACTGACTTGGCAAATGGAAAATGCAACCAGGCAGTGGCAGATGCTGCTCCTGCACTCAAAGAAATGTCTTGATTTAGGTGAGAGGACAATTAAGTGTTTTAATTATTACTTTTAGAGTTCATGGTCATATAGTCGAATATATTTGAGAACTTAAGTGTCGGGAATTGCACTAAAAACACTTAAAAAAACTATTTTATTTAATTTGACAAAATATTTTGAAAAAATGTACCAGAAAGTGCACTTTAAAAAATGTTAATATTTTTTCAGTGTATTGCTGCTGTTGCTGATGTAGCTTCTGCCCATGTTGCTGCTGTTCATGTTGCTGATGTTGCAAGAACGACTCATGTGCATGTATGTGCGCATTGTTAATGGCCGCCGCTGGCAGTTAATAATTCTGCGTGCCGCTCTCCACGCCCCAAGGCGTTGCCAACTAACTAACTAGCTAACCAACTCCCAAAGATGGTCCGTTATCTGGCCGAAAGGCGATTTATAGCCCAGAAAAGGAAGTAATTGCCATTTATCTATTTGAACTTGGTTTAAGCCGCAAGCCGTTGGCTTAAATATAGGCGTTTGACTAAATGTTTGGACTTCATTTGAAAAAAATAGTCTTCATATAAAATACCTTGTAGATTACAATATAAATTACAATACAATTGCAATAATTACAATATAATTTATAAGTGATAAATATGTATAAAAAAAACTAATCTGCTAAAGTTACTGAACCAAGTTTATGTGCTTTCTTTTAAAATATTCCAAAGAATAGAGTTATTTTTTTACTATGAACACGCGATTAGGAGATTAATTATTTGTAATGTAATAATTAACCCAGATGATTTATGAATTAACTATCAATACAAATTTAAGCCCAAGATATTTTTTGAGTTAAAGTGAAAAATGTATAGACATTTTTAGCCAATTGAATCAAATGTTATATCGATTTACCACATGTCTAAGCACATAAGTTCCGATTTCTTTTCTTTTCTTTTCTTTTTTTTTTTCTTTAGAAAGCCAACGAATTCGATCTTAACTTTATTTATTCGCATTAATTCACTTTACACCCTGCTAGACCTTTTCCTGCTTTATCAGATTTATTCAACATTGCAACTTCACACCAATAAATAAATAAATAAACAGATCAGAACAGAACAGAACATAAATGCCTGGTACGAACAGCTCCCATGGGCTCCACAAACTGCTCAGATGGATGTAATGGCCAACTGGCACTCAAGTGTGTCTGCATTTGGATTTGGGTTTGGGTTTTCACGGGGGAAACTGCTCACCGATGCAGTCGATAAATCACGTGCGCTGCTCATCTCAAACGGCGATTGTGATTGTGTCAGCCGTGGCAACGGCAAAATTAAAATGCTGTTGCCATGGCTCGGACTTTTTGGTTGGCTAATTAAATAGGCGAATGTTTTGGTTATAGCTTTTCCTTTAGCCAACTAATTAACCATTAAAATCAAGTCAGTGAATAAAAGAGCTTCCGGAAAAGTAAGTGTCATAAAGCTGGGGCCATCAACCTTAAAAGATAAGTAAAAGCAATGTTTCCCCTAAGAACTTGGTATTTTAAGTGTTAATTAAATAAAATCAATTATTAAATATTTTTTATTTGAAAGGTTGATAGACGAATAACTGAAAGTATAAAGTATTCATAAATTTCCCCAAGCATCCCACGCAACAATTGTCTAGCAAACAAGTTTCTCTCATATGCAGATAAATATATACCCCCATGAACTCCCACATCAAAATGGAATTAACATTATGTTAATCAGTCGCAGATATTGTTGAAAAACAAGTTTTCATTGTCTGTAATGAAGGGGAAGCCAAAGGTTAGCAAAAAGAAAAGCCTCTAATGAGGCGGCCGCAAATACTTCAAACGTAACTTGAGAATTTCTAGCTCGATTAAATAGGCATTGAATACGCATGCTCAAACGTATGTTTCAGTTGAGTCATGCGAATATTGTTGATCGTCTTTTGGCCGCTGCCCTTTTAATGTAATTTAATTTGTGCCTCATTCCAGTTGTCAGTTATTGAACCGGTTGCTGTTGTCTTTTCCCCTTCGGCTCTCGTCCATTTATTAATTTATTTATGATTGTATTACTCAGTGCTTTAGAGTTCAAGGGTATATTGCATCAATAATAAATTTGTTTAAAAAATAATGTAATTGGAATAAAAATGTTTATATTTAAAGAAACATATATAAAAAACCAACCAATAAATTAATGAATAAAAACCGAGAATACGGTAACTTATTGTCGTAATAACAGTTTATGTTCTTTGTCATCGTTTTTGGGTTTTTAAATTACATTTATGCACAAGCAGTGCTTCTTCATTTAAATTTTTGTTTTTTGAGGTCCACGCGGCGTATACTTTATGTCATCATTTAATTATGTTGCAAAACAAGTTACATTTCTTTCGCCTCTTTCGCATAAATGTGCGTAAAAATTAAAATGAATGAGAATTGAAAAATGTGCCGAAAAGAAAGACAGAAGCAGTATCAGGCGCGGTTCAGGTTAACAACCTTGACCGCGAATTTTTATGAGACAGTAGAGTGGGGAACATTCTTTTATTTGACTTTTCTTGGTATGGAATTTAAGCTGAGTCGGCAAATATTTTGTTTTCTCAGTAAAGAAAGCGATAAAAACATTTGGGAACTTTATTATTCGTTAGAATAGCTTTAAGACTTGAATGGGAGTTAAATTTTAAATAATATTTATTCCAAGCTGATTAAAGTTGACCCCAAAATTTGGTGTAAATTATATTTGTTTATCCATAAATACTTACTTTCAACTAATTTTATAAATCCATTTTATTCAGGCAAACTTTAATTTTTCTTCTGCTACAATCCATGACTCAGGGAATATCTGAAAGGTGCAGCAAATACAAATAATAGATTAGAACAAAGTTGTACGCAATATTTAAAGACAATAAACCAGAATGATTTCTTGGAATTATCGACTCATATGTGGATAAAGTGGCACACTGGTTATTCTTAACATGTATAGTAAAAAGCCTTTAAGAAAAAGTTAAAGGAATTGAGGAAACTACCCAATAATTGATAGTTTTACCTGTAGTTAAAATCATCTTACCAACAAGATTACATTTCCTTACAATAAATAAGGAAAATACATTTTTATCTGCTATTATCATCTAAAACTTTATATATTTGCTTACAAGATTATTATTTCCCATTAAATCGAAGGTCGGTAATCACTTCCCTTAATTAAAAGGTAAACTCATAACGCAACCTAACTAACAACCATTACTTAAACTCTTATCAAAAAGAGGGGAAAAGGGGCTAGCAATCGTGCCTGGAATCGCCGAGTTAAAATTGCATGACAATTACCCCAGAGACCCGGAGAGTCGGGCAAGAAAACTTCAACGAAATTTGTATGCCAGTTGCGCAGCAATGACAATGGTTAATGGAACCTCCTCGCAGTCGTCCACCTCACCGCCCCTGCCACAAAATTGCGTGAATCACGTTAGTCAGCAGTGTGACAATGGGTGAAAAGCAATCAAAAGTACTTAAAAACCTTACCGAAAGTTGACAAGCAACCAAACAATTTGAAACAGCTTGGTTGATGGCTTTCTAATTTCCTCATGTTTCTTCTCCTTTTGGGTTGCGTAAAAAAAAACACTTTAATTAGAGACTTGAAGTGCAGCTGTATTATAACTGACCCCCAAACAAAAGTTGAACGCCAGGCGGGCAAATTGTTGTCTCTTTTTGTGGTTTCTTTGTGTCAGTTTTGTGTTATGCAAGTTGGACAAAAAGAGAATTCAGAATATTGTGATCAATTTAAGTCAAAGCATTTCGTAATCGGAGTACCGTTTAATTAAATGAAAATTGATTGGCCAGTAGATGCATAAAAAGATTTATGGCCATTTTCAATAAATTTAATAAAAATCTGAATTCATTTATCAGACTCAATTGTAATTGCTAGAAATCACATAAAACGGAAATACGTAAATATATTTTATTGCTGCTTTGCAGTTAGAACCAATTAACTTTAGAAGTAAAGTAAACTTTGTCATCATTGCATGTTAAAAAGTTATAAAACCGCATTTTACTTAAATCCGCACTTCCCAAACTATCATTTTAAAGAGGAAGACGAGTATTATAATTTCAAATTAGGGTTTTTAATTAATGTAGGTTTTAATTACTATCATAAAACGCAAGTGGTTTTTAACAAAGCAAGTAAGCATTCTGTTAGTTTTCTTTCAATGATGTTTTTAATTTACTTCAGAAAAATAAATTACCTTTCTATTTAATCAAATTAGTTTTGATTTAAAAATCATTTCCCAATACCTCTTTATCTGTTTTAAATTTGTAATAAATGGACAAGCTAAGTGGTTTGAATGGACACTGCCGGCGCGTATTTTCTCTTCATATTAAGTGCTGTTTTTCTATCTAAATGTTTTCAAACAATAGCCAATAGTTTTGGAAGTCCATTAAGTTTAGTTAACAATAATTTTGACCAAGTTGAGTGCTGCACTTTCGCTGAAAGCCTCACCCCGTTTAATTGCCAACAAAAGCTTCCGTCTAGGGGCAGCTCACTTTTTCATCTAATTTCCTGTTCGACAATGGGCAAAAGCAGTTTCAATTTCGAGTCAATGCAGCGGGAACTCCCCTCTCGTACACTCAAAAAAAAAAGCATAATGTAGAACAATAAATGGATACACGTAATCAAAGTTAAAGCAAAACATGTACAAAAGAATCGCTGAACCGCAACCTCCATCGAAAAAAGAGACGGCCAGCAGTGCACTTACATAAATAGCTGCATAAATTTCAATTAAAATGCAGCAAAATAAGAAAGAAATAACAACAAGATATAAAACCGCTTTGGGAATGGACCCTGTAGAAGATGAAGAAAACCATTCCAAACTCAATTAAAAGGGCACTTAATTACGCAGTCAAAGTGTGCAAATGTGAGAGCATGAGAAAGAGAAAGGGAGAGCCATAGAACGTTTGCAAGAGAGAATGCCATAAGTCAATTTGCATAAGACAAGCTTAAGTTTGGATTGACCATGAAGCTGACTGCGCAGCCAATGCAAGATTACAGTAGAACTGCGGCAACGACAATGTACCTTCTTGCAAACAAGTTTTGCGTAACCACAATTTTGAAAGAATCTGTAAATGCTATAAAAAAGAAAAAACAATTTAAAAGCAATTGAATGAAAAATGTTTATAACTTAACATTTTGCTTGATGAATATTACAGAACACATTTTATTTTTTCCTATTTTAAAAAGTTAAAAAAAAAACACTTTACATATATACGTAATTAAATAAAAACGTTTTTTATTTTCTTGAGATTTTAAATAGCCGCTAGTAAATTATGCAATATGGAAAATATAAAATGAGAAAATTTAGAAAATAAACTGAGAACGTTATTTAACAGAAGTATTGATTCTCAGATTATAATACTATATTTAAGTTGAAGTAGATATGATTTTAGGTCTACATATAGATCCACGGTTCCATAGACAAGGCCTGTGGCATGTGACCCATGCGTTAGCCCTCTCTCTCTCTCTAACCGTGTTGCTCTCTCGCTCTTGGCAATGCACAAAATGCTGACCACGCAAGTGTAACATAGCCAGTTGTTGTTGCGGCTGCTGTTGCGTCTGCGCTGTTGTTGCTTTTTTTCCAATGTTATTTGGCCACTCAACCAAAGCTCCCCACTTCCCACTGTCACTTCCCCCCGCCCCTTAAAACCACTCCCCCCGCCTCTTTCAGCCACTCAACGCAATGCCGTCGACCTGCCCACATTATGTAAAACTGAAAAAATCCGATAGGCGTGGTCGCCAAACAACACATGAAAATTCTTTTACACGCATGCAACCTTAAAATTGTTTACTTTTTTTGTTTTATAATACAAAAGGAGGAAAATGCGCATCATGCATTTAACCAAAAATTGGTTTCTACCTGTATTTAGCTATCTAACTATATAGTATTTGATTAAGCATTTTTTGGGCTTAAAATTTAAGGAAAATAAATGACTTTTTATACACGCATGCATTTATATTTCTTATTTTATATACATTTTATGGCATAAAAAGAGTTTTTTTCAAAATTGTTTAATGCATTATCGTTCTTACAATTTAAAAAAAAATTTTTCGGTGCACTTACAAAAACAATAAGAAGAAGAACAATAACAACGACCAGTTTTTGGGGCCTAACGGTGCTTAACGTCACCTACTTTTCATTTTGGATTTTGGTTTCTGTTTTTTGGTAGTTAAAATACCTTTTCTTATACATATGTGTGTGCGTATTTACTCCTCTAACTGTTAAAACCGGTTTTCTTTTTTGTTTTTCTTCAAGAGTTCGGGCATTGAAAACGAAATTTATTTTGAAATTATGTTAAGAGAAGAAATTGAGAGGAGAAAAGGTAGACCCGTGGAGTTTTGACCGAGTTTTCATTTCGTTGGCACTTGAGAAAAAGTTTATCTTGATTTTATTTATTTAATTTTATTATACCAACAAGGCTAGGATTTTGTTAGAACTCAAATAAATGTAATTTTTTTCATAAGTTTAAATAAATATCAGAACCATTGTAAAATAACTTGATATTTAACTTCGAATTCAACTTAAAATGTAACCCATATCAGATCAAACAGCATTTGCATATTTTAACCATAAGCCATATACTCGTAACACTCCCCGAACTTGATAAGTTACTTGAGAGATAAGACATCCAAACGTGACCATCACGAATGGAGAAAAAGAATAAGAAGAAAAATAATACATGCATACGAAACCAAAACGTTAAAAAGTCTGGTAAAAAACGCGTGCCAGGGTCAACTCAAGTCAATTCTTGTAATAAACCCAACATAAAACTATGTGGAATATGCATATGACTTGATCATCTTTTATATGAGACAAAAACTAAAAAATTCTAGATTCCTATCTTTATTCATGAACTATTACACTTTTATTTTTATTATTTTTAATGTGCAGCCTAAACTAAACGGAAAATACTTGGCTCGCTTTTTCAATTTTCGCTTGCTTACTCATTGATTCCCTGTTGGCGTCGCAACACATAAAATGTTGTTCCAAAAATAAACTTAAAGGCAAAAACTTGGCGTGCCTCAGGAAGTTTTTATTATCCCAGTTTTATGAGCCCGTAAAACGCTTCATCGGCTGCCTGACTACTGTTCCCTTGACTAAGAATAAAACATTTTTTCAAGCAGGCCAACACTTTCGCTTACTTGTGCTTTGGCTAATTTTACGTAAGCATATCCCACCTCAAATGTCCTAATTTCCTTCCCCTAACTTGACTTTTCCGCTGTATAATAGGACAACTCAGTCAGGATTAGGTCACATGGGCTGCACCCATTTTCCGTTGGCCAAAAAGGTTAAGTTGGTAATTAAATTTGAGGTCAGTTCTTTAGACGGCTATCTAAATGTGGAAGGTTCCTGCCTTTGTTGTCGAGTTTGCTAAAAGCTTTTATCTGCGAGTAGGAAATGTAATGAATTCCCTTGCGTGTCAGATTGTCATCATTTGCCTGAGATCATCAGTAGGGGGTCGTAAATATAGTTTGTCAATCTTTCGCTTGGTTGAGCGCTTTGATGGAAGCCTAAGATGGTTACAAAAAAATCATGCCACATAACCAGGAAAATACTTCTAATGAAGGGATTTTCTTAAGTGCTCCCCAGACCAATTTTCTCTGTTGCCTTTGGACCTTAGAATGTGAATTTGTACTTGATAACCGGTTTTTGGGGTTGATTTTAAGCTTAATGATGTCAGCACCTGGAGTTGTTGACTTTATATGTTTAAACTTTATTAACTTTGAGCCAATTTCAAGCGCTTTTATAAAGTTATTAAGAAATGTTGAATATGTACACAGTACATATTTATTCTAATTAGAACAAAGTTAACAAACATTTTAAATGGAACATAAATCTGCGCTTCAATGGTTCGAAAATTTTAAAGCATGTATTACAAATATCAATTTTAAGAACATATTTGTTTCGAACATGCTTGAGAAGTTTAATTTTAAATTTCAGGCCTCACGATTCGCTGTTGTTTGCCTGCTTCAAAATGTTAATTAAGTGCAAAACTGCACTGCGACATTCTGTGACAATTATTTTGTTTTCCAACTTCCAACGATGGCATGAAGAAGAGGTGTAGTTTTTCTTAATTGCTTCACAACATTTGCTAATTAGGTTTTACAGTTGGGGAAACTCTTATCAGAATTTGCGAATTCCCTCAAAGCACAGTGAAAAAGTTTGCATATTTAAGTTGAAGTCAAAGCCCCTCTGCCGGATTTTTCCCTATAGCCAACACCTGCTAAGCTGCCGTGACTGAAAGTCATTTAAACTGTTTCACTTGCTGAAGTTGTTGCTGCTGCTAGCATAATTATTTTTGTACATTTTTTGTTTAGGTTTTCATACTGGTAAATAAATTTGCAAGTAGATTTTACACTTGCAGAGTCGTTCAAGGCGAGACTTTTGACTTTTGCGTCGTGTAGTGCAGTGCCCTGAAGTTGTAAATCTTTTTTGGAATTTCAAATGAGCTTGGTTGATAAGCCAAACGGTGTTATGTTGGTGGGAAAATTGTTAGCTGTTGGCAAAGAATATTGCAGGTTTGAGAATCAGTCTTGGATATAACTTATCGTTAGACTGAGTTCAGTAAACAGGGGATGGTTATTAAATATATGTTTAGCCAGATAGTTCCATCGTGCAATGATTTCCCGTTCTTGTATCTTGTGTATCGAAGCCCATCTGTATCACGTTCCCAGATATCAAATCTCATTCCATAATCAACAGATTTATATCTCAGCAAACATTTCTGTGGAGCAAAGAGATCGAATCATTGAATAAGCAGGATAAGATCGTTTACCTTATCGGTACACGGTGCTAAATTTTATACACATTTCTTGACTTCTTTTCAAAGTTATTTAAGGTGATTTAATGTGATTTCCTATTTAATGTTTATCCCAAAATTGTAAGCACAAAATATATATTTTTTTAAACTATGCTTAGCATTTGAATTCTTCAAGTCTTTAAAGCAATTTTTAAGCCGTATACACTACCTAATAGATTGGAAGAAAAATTGAAAGTTAAATAAAACTTTATTTATTTAACTGATATGCAAAATTGAACATATTTATAATATTGTTAAGCTCGACAATCCTATTGCGACACCCCATTTGAGACAATATTTACAGTCCAACCAGCGCGAATTCCCATTCCAATCAGAGGTAAACAAAAATCAAAAGCGACAATATCAAAAAAATGCCAACAAACCTGTACGAGTTGTTCGCTGCTGCTGCGCTGTCGCTGCCGCTGCCTCTGTCGACGTCGCTGTCGACGCCAAGAACTTCGTCTTGAAAGCTCTCAGGCGGAGATGTTGTTGTTGCTACTGCTGCCTTTTTGCATGTGCAAAACCGTGAGAGCAAAAGAGAAGGAGATGTGGAGCCCACTAATACACGCGCAATTTGACAGGTAAGCGAAACACGTCGCAAAGAGAAGAAGAAGAAGCAGTAATGAATGATCGTCGCTTTAACTTTTCGTTTGCGTTGGTATGCGTGTGTGCATTTCTGGGAGTTAACTTATAACACTTTTTAGCCTTGGAATTTCTAAATTAATAATGCACATTCCACTCAGGTTTTAACTTCTTTCACTTTTGAATATTCAACACTATTCACACACACACACTTGCGAGGCGCGCCGGCTGCGCAGGCGACTTTTGTTTTAAATAAACCCACGTACAACTTACACCACGGAAAAGCGGAGTATGTCGAATTTTAATGCGACCAGCGCGGCGATATACAAGTGAATGAGCAGTTACTTTTCGTACCTTCCCGTCAAGTTCACCTGGCGGGAAAAGCTTTTAAGCCCGAGCTCAGCGCAGCGCAATGGTGAGAAATGAGCTAACGCGTTGAATATCTAGCTATTTTAACGACAAATCTGGCGGTTTGTTAACACTAAATTGACTCACTTAAATTACTTTCTTGAATACATAAAAATTTATTAGTACTACTTTTTTTTCTGAATGTAAGTAAACTAGCAATAGCAATGGATCGTACATAATTCTTAGAAAACCAATTCTTAAAACCATATTTTGCATTATCCATTTAGCATGCCAATATATGTATGTATTAGAAAACCATGATAAGCTATGCATACAAAATTAAAAGAAAAAATACTCACTATAATGTTTATTTTTTAATTTGAATATAACTTTTATGTAGTTTTCCCCTATTGCTATATCTAGTTTTGGCTAAATCGGCCAGCACTAACGGATCTTCCAATCGAACTTTATTGAACTAGTTCATCACTAACAGAGTTGCACAACAGTTCAGCAACGGAAAAGTAGAAATTAATATTCTTTAATTAAACTGCTTAAATAATGCTGCGTGCCGGCTGCCAACTGCTGACGCAGTCCTCCCTGCCCGCCGGAAAGACGGGCGGCAACAGTTTCGCCCTGGAGTTCGTCCGTTGGCGCCGGAAGCCGCGTTGGCTGCCGGTGGCCAAAAGCAAGATGTTCCGCGTGCCCGAGCGCAAGAAGCAGACGGAGGAGGAGCGCACGGAGCTGATGAGGCTCCACAACCAGTACAAGTAGGTGGATGTACCCATGTAACCACAGTTTCTTTAGCTGGGGTTAAGTTACCCCGCATTCCGCGACAGAGACACCTCATCTACCAAGTGGTTAATATTTAACAAGCTATAGAAGCCATCTTCAGGTTCCGTAATCCTTGTAACCACAGATTCTTAAGTGCTTATAAAGTTATCCAGAAATCCCCGCCAGAATAATAACTCGACATAGGTTGACATGGGACGAACCAACGTTCCATTATCTATGTAACCACAGTTTCTCAAATTGGAATACATGCCCAACAATACTTTCTAAAGACATTCAAAAGAAGATCAAGTTTTCAATAGAACATTTCTATTACAGAACCCAGCTCCGCTCAGTGCGTCAGTTTCTCAGGGAAGAAGTCGTCCGCCATGAGGAAACCTCGACCGCAGACCACATCGTGCTCACGCCCGAACAGGAGGAGGCTGAGTTCCAGAAGTGCCTGGACGTCAATGCGGCCTGGAATGCGACCATTGCCAAGGAGCGGGATCAACGTTTGGCCAAGGAGCGCGAGGAGAAAGTGGCCTATGTGCAGGAGCGACTGGATGCTCGACAGGTGCGCGAAGAGGAGCGCAAGGAGCAGGCCAACCAGCGGGTTCTGCTCGAGATCGAGCGCTCCAAGACGTACATTACCAAGGAAACCTTGGACGCAGCCATCGAGACCGCCTTGGCCAATCCCGTGGACCACAACTTCGCCATTGATCTGGCCGGAAATCTTTACCAAGGGCGCAGCACCTCACAGCTCCCAAATGCCAGTCCCGAGCCCAACCAGCAGGTCTTGAGTAATTAATTGATTGTCTTAGTTTGTTGTTATATTAAAAATGCTTTTTAGCTTAAAATGGTTTCTAACGAACTTGATCGAATCACTACTTGTAACTTTAAAATAGCAAACAGGACTCTAAAATTTGAACAATATATTAATTGATAAAGATTTTGATTAGCTTAACTAATAGTTTGTGCCCGATAGGTTATACAATCCGACTGTCCCTTAAGAATATCAAACCGCGTATTACAAAATTTCTATATTTAAAGTTTATATACGGCATTTAGAGTAGAAATAACTTAGACTTAGGCGCAGCCTATTTACAATTTTACATATCTACTACGGGGGGGGCTGAATGAAGGTAGTGCTACGTGTTGGGTGCCTGATTCGTTCGTTTGGCTGCCGCCTCCTGCTGCTCGAAGAGGTGCACCCAATCCGGAGTGGCCTTTAGTTTGGCCTGTATGGGTCCCAAATTAATCATGTTTCCGCTGCGCTGCTCGCGGTTCGCAGTAACAGACATAAGCTCTTGCAGGAAACCCGGATCGAGACCCATGTCCAAATCAAAACGGGTATCCCCCAGCTGGAGTTTGACGCGACCCGATTTGTACCGCAGGATCTTTCCGATTTGTCCCTCTTCCAGCTGTCGTAGTACACTTCCCTTGGCTCCGCTGGAGGATTTGGCTGCAGGACTTGAGGGTTCCGATTCACTGGCTGCTTGGGGATCCGCTTTAGAGGGTTCTGTGTCCTCCGGGTCATCACCCACACATGGCAGCACATCCGGCAGCTGCATCAGGAAGATCTGCGATTGACTGGAGTCCAGAAAGTTGCCAATGCTGCGCGGATAGCGACCGTATTGAAGCGGTAGTTCCTCTAAGCTGGCAGCTTGCACGGCCACATGCAGTTGCTGCAAATGCTGAGCAACAGCCAGAGTGTCTAAAAGCAACGATTTTGGTTAGAATAGAGTAAGATTATAAGTGCAGCTTTATTACCCTTTTGGGTGGAGGTTTCACTTGTGTCCTCGGTCTTCACAATCGGTGTCTTCTGGGTGGCCCAAAGACCTGGGGTTTAAAATAAATGGTCATCAATATTAGCAGTATTATAGAGAAAAAGTATTGAATAAACTACAACACATACCTTCCTTCAGCAGGATGGGCTTAAGGGCCATCTCAGTCTTGTTCGCCTCCTCTTCGCTGAGCTCTGCATCGCTGGCATCCGACTCGCCGAGGAGTTCCTTGATCCTTTCGCCCTGGCCCTTGTCGTCCTTGCGATCCACCCGTTTCCTGGCCACGGCCACCTCCTCGCCGGCCCTGGCATACGCCGTACCATTGCCAGTGGATCTCCGCATGTGGACATCGCCGGCTCCTTCGGAGAAGAGTCCTTGCGTTTGGATGAGGGTGGAATTGCCCCCGCCAGCGGAACTCCCACCACGACCACGTGTTGCTCCTGTCCCATTGCCACGCCCACCCCGGCGTCCGCCTCTGGGTTGGGTGGTGTCCTTGGAGGTCTTGACATTGCTGCAATTTAGACGAGATGATGAAATTAACGATTACCTTAGGATATCCATGTACTCACGCATTTTTGTTCCGCACCGCATTCAAATTGGGGGCGAAGACCTTTTTGCTGGCTGCTCCAGCGCCACGCCCACCTAGGGTCAAGTCGCGGGCGGGAGTCAGCCTGGTCATTCCATTGAGTGTCTCCAAGGGGCGTGTCCCGCCCCCAGACGGACCATTATTAGTCGTGGAGGACCCACTGGGTCCACCGATGGACGAAACTGCTGTTGCTGTGGTGGCCGTCATCCGCTTCGCTGGCATGGCGTCCCATTCACGCCGCCCTTCCCCCAGAAAAGTCGGCAGAAGAAGCTGCGACCTAATTTCCCTGAAAATTCGCTTGTTTTCCTTTGAAATTCGCGTCGAGTCGACTTCGTCGGTTTTCCTTTGAGGTTAATAGGAGACCAGTGTTGAGAAGCGCGCGATTACGTGTCCACATGCCGATACACCGACTTGCCGATAGTAAAATTCGAAAAAACATCGCAAAGACCATTTGAAGCGATAGGTAAGCAAGAAAAATTATCGTATAACCTATTCCAAGCGATAGGTGAGGCTAAAATGTAAATCGTTGAGCTTTGGTAATAGCAAAAATTAGCTTTTCTAGCTAAAAAAGCGGAAAAATGAAGATCATTATACAAATAAATAAGCAAAAATATTTTTCGAATTGCATTGCTAGCTAAGTAGCGACGAAACACCATCTCTATTGCCAATGGTGCCATCGCTAAATTGGCCGCCTGTTTTTATAAACAAACCGGCAGATCATATTAAATCATTTATGGCCAGGAAACAGCGTTAATAGGAAAATTAGGGAAAATCCGACGGAAAAATGGCCTCCAAGCGATTTGGTCCCATGAAGGACTTTGCGCGGGCCAAGAAACCGCGCCTGGACGTCAGCGTGACCCGCGGATCGTCGCGTCCCAGTCCGCCAAGGAATAACTTTGATGGCATTTTCTGGGATGACGATGACGACGACGTAATCCTGATGGCCACCCAGCTGGCGGAGGCGGAATTAGAAGCGGAGGAGCGCAAGAAGAAGGCGGACCCGGAGGTGGACATCGCCCACACCGAGGTGACCTTCACCGAATTTGCTCCCATGGGCCAGGGCTCCACCAGCACCCAACAAATGTTTCCGCCACCTCCGCCGCCGCCGTCTAAGAAGTCCACGTCTATGGACATGGATGCCATCTTCGGGGACGACGATGACTTTGATTTCCTGGCCGTGACCCTCATCGATACCGAGCCACAAAAGCCACCGGAATGCAAGCCCAGCACGAGTAGATCCATTAGCACCACCATCAGTGTTCATCAAAAAACGTCCACAACCGCGATGAATGCCACGCAATCCCGCCAGCAGGAGCACCAGATCAAGTTTCTCATGGATCGCATCGAAGCCCTCAAGCGGGAGAAGTCACAGCTGGAGAAGAATCTGGGTGACAGCAACGAACGCAACGAGATCAAATCGGGAGAGGTGAGCTATATTTTACTGAAAGCTTTTGAATCTAGATGATTTAATTGATTTCCTAAAATCAAATTTTTATCTATTTATGGGTATATTTTATTCAAAGCTTTACTCCAGTCAAGTGTTAATCTGTAATTTAAATAGCATAAAATATGTAATATTAATATGTCATACAATTAACCCAATTCGATTTACTTCCGCAGGTGACCCTGCTCCGTGATGAGCTGAAGCACGTTCGCCAGCAGCTGCAGGCCAGCAAAATGGAGAAGCTGGCTTTAGCCGATGAAACGAATCGGGATTGCAACAAAAAAGTGGCAGAAGCGGCCAAACAAATAGCGGCCAAGGATATCGAGTTGAAGATGAAGAACGCTGAGTACTCCAAGTTAAAGACTCAGCAAAGAGCCCATGAAAAAAGTATGAATTCGAGCATGAGCATTGTACAGGCTGCTCCGGATCACTTTGAAAAGCGGGCTTTACTTCGTCTGCATAGGCTCAACATACACAGATCTGTGCCCAGACTAAGAATCGATAATGCTTTTAGGTTTGAATATACCGAAGATGAGGATCAGGGTAAGAAGCGAAGAAGCCCCTTCGAGCTAGAGCTTAAGCCACTGCTGCTCCATTACGCTCAGTTGCAGGTGCAGCCGGAATCTCTGGATAATCTCATCCCAAGCGTAGTGACTTCCGTCGGCAAGATTTTTTCGGAGTTCGCCTCGTACGTACAAAAATTGGATTTTCCGCACAACTGCATGTTATATCCGTACAATCCCTACAACATCGAGGAGGAACTTCCCCGCTTTTCCCTTTCTCAGCAGGCTGCTTTGTATGAGAACGAAAAGGCTGTGCCGTTGCGTCGCTACATTGCCACTTTGGCCTTGATTTGCCGGCAAGAGGAGAGAATTTCCAGCGCTATTCTGGAGTGGAAACAAAATGATCTAGGGATACTCGACATAGCTATTGAAGCTGTCATAAAAGTGGGATTTTCCTACGAGGTGAGCCGACATTTCGGTTTGCTGGAAGCTTTGGCTTCCCTACTTAACAGTCTACTACAGGGAAAGGATTTGCTTCAACAGAATGAGGATCTGCTCTTTAATCTGCTTAAACAGCTAGTTTTTACGCGTCCCAATCCTTGGGTTTTTGCTGAAGTGAGCTCCTGCCTTTTGAGGTGCCTTCGACACCCTCAACTGATGGTTAAGATGTGTGTAAATAGTCACAAGGAGTGCTTTGTGTCGGATCGCGTTCGCTCAGTTTATCGATTTGGTCCCGACTCCTGTTTACTTCAGGTCTATTCGGGATTACTCGAGCTATGTTTCTTTAGTGAAACCCCTCTGAAAAATGACCAGTTTCAGTTACTGCTTCAAATCGGAGGAAATCATGTAAGATTTGCATTCGAGTGCTTTAAGAATCCTCCGGACTTCATAATGGAAATGCTGCCATACTTTGCGGATGATGGCGATGAGGACTCTGGCGATGGCACTCTGATGAAAGAGGGCGGAAATTTCAGTTGCAGCACAACAGCAGCAGTTCAGGGATCGATCTCCAATGGTTCCGCATCAGCTTCCGCTTCGAACTCGAATCTTAACTCAAATTCCAACTCGAGTTCATCGCAGCGCGGCAAGGATTGCGAATGTTATGTGAAATTGTGCCTCAGTGCAGTGACCATCGTCTTCCAGGTGATGCACCAGTGGATGCTGCACGAAAGGAAAGCAGGTGCGTTTGCTTACCGAAAAAAAAATATTGTTAAATCCAGCGAAAATATTCTTTTATTAATTGACACAACTTAGTAGCTTAGTCCTATTTTAATTAGTTTGAAACGTTTACGTGTTTTTTAGGCACTGAAGAGGTGGGTGAGATTTCACGCATCGCGGTCCACCTGCTGACCCTTGTGTTTCATGAGTATTACCTTACCTGCCTTTTTCGCGACTCCGAGGAGACGACAAAACACTACCTCAGCCTCATTTGCAACTGGTGGAGCGAACATGCAGATTTACTTGGTTTTCAGCCAATACAATGTAAGTTAAAAAACGATTTATGAATATTTTACAATAGTAATTTCCTTAACTTATTTGTATACTATAGTGCGTTTGCTAAAACAGCTGGTTAAAGCCCACTTCATGCTGAAACCTCTCCATCAGGAGGCCAATCGCAATAACCCAGGCAACGACCTCTCCGAATGGAATCGCATTGTCAAGAACGCGGATGCCCAAAAGACAGTGAGTTCTGGACAAAAATTCAATCCTAGAAAACTGCTCGACATCGACTTCTTTAGTGCCTTAAAACGGAAGGAGAGCACGTTTGAGTAGTTGTCAGTTGTTATGTTAATATATTTTAAGGGTGATAATCTAATGTAAATTTTAAATACAAATAAGTCTGTTAAAAAAATATTAAAAAGTTCAAGTGCATAAACCAATGAGGCTTTTAAGAACAAACCTTTGAAAGACGAACAAATATCATTGAAAATATATCTTATTATCTTGGGCATAAAGCAATTTTTGTATTAATGAAATTTAAAATGACCGCCAAGAAATCGTTTCTTGTCTTGTTTCGATACATATATCGATAGCAGATTAGTTGGTGTGGTTCTATTTATCGCTCATCGGGAACTGGTTCAAGCAGCTGTTATTTTGCTCATTTGAGCCAGTTCGGTTCGCTTGGAACTTGTTTATAAGCGCGATATTCTCCGTAATTTTAGAAATATAATTTTGATTTACTAATTGTCTAAACTATGTGATGTATTAATCGTGCTTAAGTTTATAAATGTCGTTTAAAAGGTCGCGTGTGTTATCCGCAATGCAATGTTCCGAACGTGCTTCTACCCAAAAGCTTAACATTGTTGTTTCTGCGTGCTTTGTTGACAATCGCAATTGCAAAGGTTGGTGCAAATAAACAATAACATTGTATACAAAAAGCATTTTTAATAATAATTGCAACACGTGAAGTTATATCAACTACAATAACAAGGCAAATCCACAATTACACTTTCACAGTTGCATCGTTGTTTAAGTAGTTTGATTTGCTTGGGTCTTATTTTGCATTTCCTTTCAAAGGGCATTATATTCTGGTAAGAATGTTAAAATGCAGCAAAAGTAACCAACTTCTAGCACTAATTATAAGAAGAAGAAATATAAATATATGTGACCCTAAAACTAGGGGATGAGCAAAAAGGATCTCAAATTGGGGTGGTTGGGTATGTATATCTTCAGCACCAAGAAAATGTTCGGATTACTTAAAGATCCATACGGTAACACATTATTATAGTGCTTCTTAAAGCGAACTCTATGTACTTGTTTAAAACTTAACCATGGGATCCTGAAACATCCTCATTTGCATATTATCATACATCTTCATAACATGGTAGCCATGTTCTAAATATGTTTTATTGACTTTGTTTTGATTTATACATTTTTTGTTATGTTATACAAATATACATTGACCAGGTTAATACGTTTTTATAAATTGACTAAAAAATTGGCTTTCATCCAAATAAAGACCATATACACCCATTTCGCAACTGAAATTTCTTTGAAATTTTTAATTCAGGACACCAAAATTATTAAAGCAACATACTAAGCTAAAAGTACGTTTTAAACAGCAAAATTTTGTTATATTAAACAACTTTTTTATATTTATCTTGTTTTTATAATTTGTACTTCAAAGTAACAGAAAAATCCAGAAAAATTAATTCAACAGGTACAAATTTGATATCATGGTTTTATGTAATGATAAATATGAATCTTAACATGTGTTCATAAAAACTTTTCCAAGTCATAATCAAATCTTTATAAATTTATGTCCGCAAATCCATTTTTTTTCTGGCGGATTTAGTTTTAAACTAACCAAGCAAAGCACCATAAACAAAGAAAAAAACAAGATACGAGAAGAAGGGTCATTTTATTTGTTGTCATTCAACAGCCCCTACTTACCCCATTTTTATTCTTTACAATTTGATCTCGTGATTTTGTTGAACCAGAGACAATTCCGCTTTGTTTGGGGAGTGCTTGACGACAAACACGTTTTATTATTTGATCCCGTGAATTAGTGCTCCATTATCCATACACAGAAAAAAATCTTCTATGGATCAGAAAATTTATTAATATAATTGTTTTAATATTTCCTTTTTTAAAATTTAATTTTGTGTGTATCCCAACATAGTTTTATAAACCAGTGTAACGGTTTATAAAAGCATTTTAAAATATATTGTATTGCTTTGGAAGACTTATCTGCAACTGTGACATCTAACGATTTCACATAACTATTCTATACCCCAATTTTTTTTTATTTCTGTTACATGGTTACGAACTTGTAAATATATAGAGTATCTATTTTTATTCCTACTTTACAAATGTGATATAACCATTAACCGCAAGATCATTTCGACAATCTTGAAAAATTAAAGAATATCAAGTGCGAAACAATTTGTTTATGTGTTGATCATGCAGTGATAGCGACAAAGCTCCCAGAAAGATATACTTGTAATAATTAAAGGGGAAGGCCGGAGTCAATTTCATAACTAATGGTTCACACTTGGGTTCAGTCAATTGCCGAGGTTTGTTCAGAACAGACGTAATATGGAGCCGAAAAACTACAGTGCGGAATATTTCGAGAGAGCTTTGGCGAGAGCATTTAGTTGCGAAAAGCTACGCGTGGAAAACTTTCACATCGAGGCTGTGAGCCAGAAAGGCGAGAACTTCTGCAGCGTCATCTACCGGGTTGCGTTGAAATTTCGACGGTCACCCGATGGGGCTCTTGAATCAGGGAATTATGTCCTCAAGGATCTGCTGCCCATCGCTACAGAAATAGGCACAAATGAAAAGGATATGTTCGAGCAACTCCTACCAGCTATGTCAGCTATTCTTGAAAAATTTCCAACTGAGTTGGGCGATCACAAAATAAGTGCCGAGTAAGTAATCAGTTATAGTAAAAAATATAATATTTTACAAAACATAAAATATGAAAAATGTTTAACAATTCATGGTTTATATTTAAAATTATTTGTTGGGCAGTAAAAAAAAAAATTGTTTTGGAATTTGCAATTGTTTGCCATTTAAAGAAATTATTTTAAATATATTATTTTTAAACAAAGAGAAAATGTAAACATCTGTTTGTCTACAAAATAAATGCTGTTTTTAGATCAACTTAATTTTGCAAACCTATTTTAGCTAAATTGTTCAAATAATGATTTGCAAAATAATTTTATAAAATTATTATTACCAAAAAATGAAGTGCAATGTAAATGTGGCAATTCTTTGAATTTTTAGTTGCCTGCTGGCCGAAACATCACCTGGAAAGGAGATCTACATATTGGAGGACTTGGGTGCTCTAGGTTACGGATCTTTTGATCGCCATCAGGGCCTCAACCTGGAAGATGCCAAAATTTGTGTAAGGAAGATGGCTCAGTTTCACGGCGCTTCCATGATACTGTTCCAAAAGCAACCAGAATTGGTAGCAAAGCTTTCACCTTCCAATTATGGCAATGACCTGACGGATCTTTTCGCCAAAGTAATCGTCCTAGATGGCACTGAATACGCGGCAGAAGTTTTTGCCGACGAACTGCCGGAAATATCAAAGAAAATGAAGGCTCAAATACCAGTCGAATATATCAAAAGAATGAAAAATGTGGTCGATCCCAAAAAGTCGTCCTTTAATGCGGTTGTCCATGGTGATCCTTGGGTAAATAATATTATGTTTGATTCAGCCAATAAGAAGGTAGTACTTGTAAGTGAAAATGTTTGTCTTCCAACTTGGAAATTTTATGTATAACCATTTCATACATTTTAGGTGGATTTCCAAAACTGTTTTTGGGGCAGTCCGGCCATAGACCTTTATTTCTTTTATTACACCAGCGTCAAACATGAAGTATTACTGAATCAGCAGGATGAGCTTCTGAATCACTATTATCACAGCCTTCAAGAGACTTTAACCCATTGTGGGTTTGTGGGATCCCAGCCCACTTTTGATCAATTGAAGGATGAGATGCAACGTTGTTTGTTTTATGCATATTATGCCGTTTCCTGTGAGCTACCTATTTGCTGTGCTGCACCTGAGGTCAGTGCCGATTTCAGTGTACACACTTTTGGGGATAAAGAAGCTATGTTAAAAAAACGTAAGCAATTATTTGCCAACGAGCGAGTGCGTCAGACAATCAAGGCCAGTCTTCGTCAGTTTGATGAACAGGGTATTTTAGAAACACCTTGATGTTGTTCTTATTTTATTTGCTTTTTCAAAACTAATATCCCTTTGTTGTCTTCGTATTATTTGTTTTTTGTACAGAATAAACTGTTTTCTGTATTTTTAGTTTAATAAAGTCTAATATATTAAAGCAATTTGATTGTCAATATCGCTATGAAACAATGTAATATCCATTTCTAATGGTAAATGTATTTTACCTTATTTACATATCTTTATTATTGATTCATTAACCCCTTGCCCATTTCCAGAAATTCAGAGGAAAAACCCAACTCAAGTGTTACTTCTTGTGTTTATAAATAAATTTGTTGTCTGCCAAAGTTTCTGGCCAAGATTTACGAGTGTGAGTGTGTGATGCATGTGCTTCGCCTCGCCTGGCTGCATTAGAAGCGATAAAGTTCTCACCTCACCTCCATGCAGCTAAATATGCAAATCGCTTTGCAGTTATTCTTAGAAAGTTGTCAGCTGCCAACTTGTAAGCCAACTTGGCTTCAAACGTAAGCCAAGCGAATCGGATCGGGGAGCATATAGGAGCAGAATCCACATTCGACGAAGAATATCCTGCAGGAGCGTGGGAGCCAAAGTGCACTTGACGCCAATGTTACTTCGAACTATGTTAGCTTGTCCTTCTTCTAAGTGTTTAAAAAGCAATTTATTGTTCTTGTTCAGGAGCTGGCAACCCATTGTAAGTTCTACTTTGGAAAGGTTGGTGGTGGCAAAATCCCTTGAGGAATTTATTTAGCATGACTTCTTGTTGTGTTGGCATTCATAACTAGATAACCAGTTTATAACAAGAAAAATATTAGTAATTTTTTTTGTAAACTGGAGCTGTGTGCTGTTTTGTAAATTTAAAATTTTAAATAAATATTATTTTTTAATTTATTTTGTTTAAGATGAACCATGAAAGATTTTAATCCAATGTAGTAATCCTGTGAAATAACACAAATCGTTTCTACTGTCGGTCAATTACCATTTCCCCCCCTTTTTTTTACCACTTTCTAGACCCCTTGGGTAATTGTAAACCTTAATTAACATTGAAAACAAACACGAAGGCCCAATGCAAACAGAAATCTGTCTAAGGCTGCCAACCAGTCGAAAGAAACTCATAAATCAATTTTGAAATGCATTAGAGACAGGTAGCCAGCCGCCGTATTTTCCCATTCCTCAATTTTGTCAAGGAAATGGCTTCAAGCAAAGTGACTGCACAACTGCAGCAAACTCGAAGGGGTCAACTTTCTGGAGCTGGTCAGTGGCCAAAAGTTGCAACAGAGTCAACCCCTAAGAGCAAAGCCCCCCCCTCTTCGTTCGTCACCTTTCAATTAATGCGTATTTCTCCAGTGTCATGGTAGAAATAGCTTCCTTTGCTTTCATCTGGGGTTGCATTTACTTAACGCCTCGCCTCAGCACTTAACTTCCGTTTCCTGTTACCAGGGGATGGAGTCTTGGCTCAGAGTCCCCGACTTTCGGGCAAGGCATTTGCAACTAATTGAAAGTGCAATGCGATGCTGCAGAATGCAATTAATGCCTTGAGGCCCCGAAAGGGCAGAACGCCCACCTTCGCACGTCTGCAAACGAGAAGTTGCATTCGAAACCGAAATGCACAGAAAAAATGCTGTGCAAACTGAAGTTTCAATTGGGGGTGTTCAAAGTCAACTCTATAAGATTGCGGAAGTGGTTGGCGAATAATTGATTTTTGAGACTTAAGTTCGATTATTTGCAGTAAGAAATAATGGTAAAACTAGTCATTTTTAAAATCTCTGGTATGCAGTTAAATGTGTGCATTGAATGGCATCTTTATCTTGGAAAAAAATATTTATCTTTTGCATAAAAAACAAAATACCAAATATGTATAATATATATGCATATATTATATATATACAGTATTTAATAAATCAAATGAAACACCAATAGAACTACAAAAATATCTAAAAACTCTTAAGACTCCTTAATCTATGATTATTTGTCACCATTTCCTGTTTCAAAGCTGGAATAAAGCAAGAAACTTTTATCAATTAGCTGCCAACTACTCAGCGTATGGCTGATTTAAGGATAATGAAGGTCCAAGTCGGAATCCTTTGAGGCATACAATTAAAGGCAATAAATTTGCACAGCCAACCATAAATCAAAGTCCGATCATAATCTTGGGCTCAACAAATAGAGAGAGGGAAAGCGAAAAACGAAACTTTCGCTTCCGCACAGAATTTTCCTCTCCCGTTTGCAAAAGTTCCAATCCAAGGAACTTTACCACAATCCGAGAAAACAGTCGCTTCGCTTCGTTTATTAATTGTACAACTGTCTCCAATCATAATTAATGAACTTTCGGCACATCCTCCGCCGCAAACTTCACATATCCCCTTACTTCGAGAAGGAGTGGAGAACCAACACTGCAATATAAACACAAATGTTTTCCTTGGCACACCATAAATCTTTCATTTGGCAAATCTCTGTTGGGCCTTTCCGTTCACATTCTTTTCCCTGCTCCGCATGGTTTTTCCTTGTTTTATTTGCTTTAATGGTTGGCAGTATCAATTAGACACATTAAAGGCTTTACTGGGCTTATTTTTATTGTCTTGGATAAGATTATGGTTAAGCTTAAAGTACCAAATAAGAATTATGTTTGCAAATGGATAAAGATATGGATAAATGGATACACAAATTAATAATGAAACATTTAAAAAATGTTATGTAAAATGTTTTGTAAAGTAACGAAAGTCAAAATTAAAGTCTTTTTATTTTGCTTTTACAAACACTGGTTGTGCAATTCAATGACTTGGTAATTTCAGTCCTTGAAAGCGGAAAATTACATATGCAAATCCCTTATAATTATCAGTGAAAATCTTTTGAGGAACACACATCCCCATTTCCATTCGGAAAAGCTTAAAAGCAAACACCTAAATTGCGATCATTTTTCATATAGCTTGGGCTTTTCTTCACCGCCACTCATCAGTGGCTCATTTATCAACGTTGTGTGTGCGATTGCGATTAGTCAGTTAGTCATTTCAGAGCCAAATTTAAATAATTTTAAAATGATGACAAAAGCTTTTCCAAGAATCCAAGTAATTATGCGCACATGCCATCCAGAGAAAGGTTGTGTGTGGGGACTACGGGCATTAACACTTTCACGGCAAACAATCTAAAGATAAATGAAAGCATCATTAGTCATTGGCCAACCCCACAAGAAACGTTATCATATGTGTCCTCTTCAATTTTTCAGAGTCCCAGCCAGAAGGGTGGGATTATATGTGATTAAATCCTTCAGATACCCAAGTATTCATATGTAAATTCTTTGCGGCAGGGTGTGACAGGTCTCCAGTCGTGCAACTAAGTACTTTGAGTCCTTTTGGACCATTGTCTGTGGCAAATTATTTATTGGCCATCATTACTTTGATTGCTGACTGCTTTTGATGATGTTTTTAGTTACACATTTTACTTTTTTCTTTTACCTATTTTTAAAACTGATATAAACAAGCTGTATAAGGTTTTTGCAGCAAATAATCTTAGCAATAAAAACTTAACAAATCCTGTGCTGCTTTTAATAAATTTCTTATAGCGTTCCCTGTTAACCAGTTAAAGTCAGCTAACTTTTATGTGCATAGACATTAGCTAAAAAACTAATTACCTTAAACAGACTTATAGAAACGAATGAAACTTTTTTAGTCGGGTTTCGGCACTTTTAATACAGCTTTTAATGTCATTTTGCATAGGATTTGAATACTGCATTGGAGAAAATGCTCTCTTCCAATCCAAATACCCATATTGCCATTAAAGATTTTATGACATTTTCGGTCTGTGTGAGTCAAGGCGGAAAATTTGTTGGCCCATAAAAATGCAGCGTCGTCACTGAGAATGGGTAACACAAATTATTCAGAGTGCAGCTACTTCTGCACCTCTATCCACTACTTCCTAGGTTAGTGATATACAAGTAAGCAATTGTGCAATGTGTGAAGGTAGGGGCTTTCCTAACTTCCTTCAAATTTATTACCAAAAAGTTACTACGAGAACAAAAATTTTACAACCGTAAAATATTATTTTAAGCTACCAATTTCGTATGATGCTTCTACACACATTTTCATTGAAAATTAAGCTTTAAAAAAATTTTTTTTAAAGTTTTAATGCTTAAGTATTTGAACCATTAAAAATAAGAAAATGAACTGACAAAAACAAAAAGTTACTTTTTATTCTTTATTATTTTTTTATTATTACAAGTTTTCTCCATTTATATATAAATACGGAAAATCAAAATTAATTTTACCACTTTATACCGATTTTTTATTTTGTAATAAAAGTTTGCTGTAGGTTGAATTTTAAAATTAATCGTCAAGATAACGAGGCCCACGCTGCCAAATATATTATTTTTCAGAATTTTGTGAAGTAATATATTTAAATCAATTTCTGCTATAAACAGTTAATATGGAAGAGAGGACACAAATGAAAATATATGTTTAAAGTGCCTCGCTTTTTTTACTTGCAGAGTATTGCTGAATTGACAAACTCACAATGCGGCCAAAGGATCACCCCGATCTGCGTTTTGATGTGATCCCAAAGTTGTTCGATGCCCACTTTAAGGTGTTTGTGACGAGCCTGATCCACGTGGAGGAGCAGCTCACCCTGCTGCCCCGCCAATTCTGTCGGATGTACACCACACGTCCGCTGGCCAACCAACTGCATCAGTATCTGAGATTCCGCAACGCGAACATCAAGGAGCAGGACTTCAAGGTGGTGGAGGAGGGTCAGCCCTTTCCGCTGATCCTCAGCGATGGCAAGCGCCTGGAGGCGATGCTCTGCTCGGGTAGTCACCTGGGCCACAGCCTCATCCTGCTCATCCGGCGGCAGCAGGGTGGCAGATTGCTCTACAGCTACTCGGCGACGAGGCTGGATAACCTCGGTCGACTGCTGGGCAACTCCATCTTCAACTCATGGATCGCCGAGGGCACCGAGCATCTGTACCTCAATCTCTCCTCCGTGAACGAACCCTTCGAACCAGTGGATTTTGATGAGATGGCCATTACAATAGAGGAATATGCCACCAAAAAGGATAACAGCGTGGTGTGTTTGAATCTGCCACTATTTGGCTACGAGGAGATGCTCTGGAAGCTGGCACACACGCGACTCAGTGGACATATAAAACTTGGTGAGGTCTTCTTGGACAGCTATAGGTGCCTTAGTTCCGATCTGGAGCGATTTAAGCGAAAGAATTATTTGCCAAAGGTTTATGTCTGCAAATCGTTGGGGCACGCTCAACTAATGTATCGGACGCGAAATGTGGTTTTTCTTGAATTAAAACACCTAAAGTGGTCGCCTCAGCCAACTAGAATGCATCTGCGTCAGCTTTGCAGCCTTCTGCGACCGCAGCACATCCAGGGTATCGTGCACTTCCATTCGGATGGCGTTGTCCCGCACATTCCGCCATTCCTGAAGAGCTTCAAGGCAAACTATTCGCCGCAGAAAGACAGCCTAACGACATCAAAGCCACAAGGAGATGCACAGGCGAAGGCAGCAAAGCAAGGACCCTATCGTGCTTTTACGAAAAGGAAGCGCTTTGAATTCCTGGACGATGCAGACGATAGCAATGATTCGGATTAAAAGTAACTAATACTCAAAAAATCTATCAATTTCTTATCCAAAAAATTAAGCAGGTAAAAAAAATTAAGTAAATGATTTAAGTAAAGAAGAAAAAAACTAATTAAATGTTTAGCTTATATGATAACGTATTATATTAGATTCTGTTTATAAAATTGTATTTGTCTATTACATTTTTTTACGCCTCTTTATCAAATTAGATAAGTTGAGAAATTAACGAATATCGATTGATTGCTTGATTCTAGGATTCTACATTTTTTTATGTCCATCAAATATTAAAAAGGTTTAGTACCATCCTATTTTAAAATAATTTAAATAAATGCTTACATTGCAATAGTAACTAGCAAATCTCATTCCGCCTTAGATGAATAAGTAAAATTTAACTTTATTATAAAGTAAAATAATTTTACAGATTATTTGTTTAAATATGGTTTAAAATACCAATTTAGTTTCTACCAACGGATTAAAATATATAGAACAAGTTTTTGGAAGGAGCCATTTCACTTCTTACTAAAGTTTTCTGATCATATAGTCATTTCCTCATTTATCAAGGAGGCGTCAAGACGCTCGAACTCATTAATAGCTTCTTCAAATGTTTTAGGATTATCGCTCCCGTGAGATTCCTGGGTTATATCTAAATTGACAGAACTTTAATTATCATTCAGTTTTCTTTTGTTTTAAGAATCTTACAATTCACATTAATAGACTGATTTGAGGAGGTGATGTCCATCGCATTAATAGCTTTTTCAAATGTTTTAGGATTATCGCTCCCGGCTTGAGATTCCTGTGTATTATCTAAATTAACGGAACTTTTAATATCATCCAGTTCCTTTAGGACTAGCTTACTACTGTCATTAATAGACTGATTTGAGCAGGTAATGTCCATCTTTTCCGAAATAGGGGATTGAATTTGAAATTGGCTAGATTTTTCAGTGCCGTAATAGTAAGAAATCCACGTACAAATCTTGGGTATTGTGAAGAGCAAAACCAATCCTTCATAGACAAAAATATTTTTTAAAATTGATTTATTTTTTATAAGAAGACTTACCCAAATGAACTAAAGTGCTGATGTAAATAAACTCGCCAACAAGGCACATTCCACTAAAAACTACCATCCACTTAAGGGTTTTCCAAAAATTCGTTACAAAGACAACAGATTTTAGCTGAATGAGAAACCCAAAGATTTGTGATGGCACTAATAAAACCAACTGCCTTACTGCCTCCTCGGATATATTAATATCCATGTCTAGATATTTCTGGTAGGGATTTCCCTGGATATGGGTCTTATTTAAGCACTGAAGGCACCGCACATAAACGCGATAGCCGATCGTTATTAATAGACCAAACAGAATCCATACACAAAATACTCTTATTGCTGACTCATTGGCAAAATCGAAGATTAAAATCTGAAGGACCACGAATACCAACACCGATTTTTTCCAATTGCGCCACTGGATTAGCCGATTTATCTCTTCAAGGATACAGTTGGACACCTCCTGTTTGAACTCTGCATCTGGTACTGCAACTGGAACTGGACCTTCGTTGTTGGCCATGTTTTATTTTTAATTTTTGTAAGAAATTCTCGACGCTGTAAAATAAATGTTGACTTGCAAAGATATAGAAAATGACTGATAACTCGGATATTATTTGAACCAAAGTTAAATGGTGACTTGTTCAGTTTAGTTTGTCAGTATATAAACAATTTCTTTGAGTAAACTCAAACTATTTTTATTTAAAGAAAAGCTTTTGAATTTGTCTTAAGTTTTTGTTTTAAATATTTTTTGTTCTTATTGTATTCCAAATTTCCATAAATACTCAAATATTGATTTCTAATACATAAACCGCAGCACACACAAATGTCACCCAACTTTCGACTGCCAAGAACACGTGTTGCCAAGTGGCGTCACTTGTTCCTATTGCTGAATTTCAAATGGCGAACAAAAAAGAAATTCCCCCAAAACATCGTCCCCAGTGAGTTATCCATAATAAATTGGTATACTGATTGAATAAGCAAAAAGGGGTTTTCGCACTTTTGGTTGCATGTTTTTTGCATAACATTAACTTTAAATTGCGTTTACTTTGTTTTTATTTCAATTGCAAAGGATTAACTGCATACCTTTAATTAAATTAAGATTTTCGAACACAACAGTCCATAATAAAATTTAGTAGATTCATATATTTAAGTAAACCACATTTATTCTGGATATTAAAATAATTTGTGTAAAGCATTTCTTATTTTTATTTTCATTTCTGTTTCTTGATTTCTAAAAAGCCTACTGTGGCAGAAAATATATTCAAATTAACCTTTTTCAAGAATTTCCAAATAATTCAGGATGATTTTCAAGACCTCTTTGTCACAGCTTCGGCCGCGTTTGATCCGAACCGTCAACAAGCTCTTTTGTCCCAATCTGGGCAAATAATTTTGACACGAGGTGTGACCAACGCTTATTGAGGGTTTGGTTAATGACACTCAGCCTTCTGTCTCCCGAGTCAATCGTTTGCCGATTGATTTGTCAAAGGCATTACGCTAATATTTTAGACAAATACTGAAAAATGTCACTGGCTCGCTGGCGTCAAAATGACATCGAGTGGTTTAAATTTTTCCACCCTCAATTTTCTAGAAAAAAAATTGTAAAAAGGACGTAGGGAGGGTGAAGGAAGGACTATCGCAAAGAGATTGACTTAAATGACTTGTTCAAGTATCAAAAACCTTTTGAGGTCAGGCCGCGCTTCAAGGGTCGATTTTATAATCGTGTTGGGCTTAATTTTGTTAAAAATTGTTTGTTTTGTAAACGTGAAAATTAAATTCTCTTTATCAACACAATTTAAGTAAAATGTATATTTTTTAATTTCTCCTACAAAGAGAAATTTTGTTCATTACCCTTTTCAGATTACTTCAAAAATATTCTCAACTTCTGTCACCTTCAATTAGAATTACAGGAAATTAATATGCAAACAGTAAAATCATTGTATTTGCATTCATACATGGGCAGTTTAATTAAACTAAATTCCCCCATGGAGCTCACTTCACGACATCAAGCACACAAACTCGAACAGGATATTAGAATGTTTGACAAGTTGTCAATGCATCAGGCAGAAAATTGCCCAAGAAAATTGTGTCTTTCATTTCGAATGTAAATTAAAACAAATACACATAAAATTACTTAAAATTGCAATGATTTTCTTCTAGTCCTGTCAAAAAATGAAAGTCGTAGCACGGCATGCAAATACATACAATATCCAAAGCTCATATAACACTGATTTAAAAATTTTTGTTTTATTTATAGATTTAATAATAATAAATATTTAGCAAGTTTATTAAAACATTATAAGATTTTAAGTCGATATATTGCAATTATTTGACTTACTTACCAGCTATCTTTTTAATCTAGTGTCATGCAGGCATAAGATGTCAATGTCCAAAAGCAACCTGAAAATCTCAGCAAATATTCTTCTTTCGGGCCGATAAAGTTGTCATATGAGTTCGGCTCCTTTAACGCATTCGCTTCGACTTCTTTATGGCCAGGCGACAATGCCAGGAATTTCTTGTATTAAAATCGAAACTGTAAGGGGGGGCGGGGCAGAAATCCACCCCAGACATGGACAATTGTATCTCTGTGACAGGAGGGGGAAGGGAGTGAATATTTTGGCTGGACTGCCCCCTGAGTTCAGGCCGTGTCCTTACAGCTGTCAACATGTTTAATTGAAACTGACACTCAGTGTCATTTTATGGACATTGCCATGCGTTACCATTACCTTAACTGTAGCTGTGGCTGTAATTCGACTTGCCTTAGTCCTGCTTGATTATTGCGAAACATTCCGAAAGGGGAAGTATCTTTTCTACTAAATTCCCTCTTCTTGAGGGTTGCGATATACGTCTCATTCCTGTGTGGTATATTAGTAAAATTGATGTCCTTGAATTCGATATTTGTCGTTGGTTTCTTTGGTTTAGATAAAAAAAAGTAAAGATACAATAATACAAAAAGTATTCGGTCAACAAGCAGACTGCTAGAACGAGTTGGGAATCATAAATGCACAAGTGGAGAAGGGAACCCAAATCTAAGCAAATTTTTTTTTGTCTAAATCTAATTTTGTCTCCCCCAAGAAGCAGGAATTAAAAATGTAATACGCACTTCATGGTATCCACATTACCATTTCTGAGTCTAAAATTGACTGATGGCTGAGCTTCCTTGTTGAATCCTTCATATTTACCATTACCCTTCCTTATCCGACTCCGCAGAACTTTAGCCCCGGCAACACTTCAACAAATACACCCCAAACTCAGCCAAACTGTAATTATTATTGCTAAGCTCAGTCACCTCGTTTCCTTTCTGGAAACAGGAGAATCGAGCCCTCATTTAATTGCAGACTAGCAAATACTCAAGATATTTTTATGCAGGCAATTCGTATTTTTTCCGTTCGGCGTTTTTCCAACTTTTCGATAGGGGAAAAGACAGCGGCCTCTTTTGTTTTCGTCACGGACGAGTGGCGAAAAGCAATCACGGCAGCAGCTTCTTGCCCGGGAAAAGCTGAAATATCTTTCGCCACATTTCTTTATTTATTTTTTTTTTGTTGTTGTTTGCGCATTTTTCCAGGATGTCTTTTGTGCTATTGGTGAAATTAGAATTTCTCATTAAAATAAGTGTTGGCCGAGGGAGCCGCTTGACTTGAGACATTCAAGCGTCTCCCAGGGCAAGGTGCTCGTCCATGGCAATGGACTTAAGTCGAAATTCCCATTTTCCCCCTCATTTTTTGTTTATGCATGGTCACTCATTAGTTGAGCTTGAAATCAGACTGACAGAGTCTGGCATTTATATATATATATATATATATATATCTATCTTTATTTGTTCTCGTTCTGGGAGTACGAGTTACATATTTTCAGCCCTAATGGCTTTTCTATCCAATTGTGTACAGTTCTTTGTGAGTAATTAAAAGTGCAACTCTTTAACATTTCGTTGGGTTTAAGTGCCTTATCTTATAAATCTTCAAACGCAGTTTTATTAAATGTCTAATAGGCTTTAAAACTCAATCACTTAGTGGTTCTTTAAGGGTTACGGTATGGAATACATTTAAGCATATTACAATTAATTTCGGTCTGTAAGACAGATTGAATCATTTGATAATTTTGATTTGTAACCGTCTGGAATGTTCTTTTTTAGTTTTACGGTTTAAAAAATATTGAAAAATTGTATTGTATTAAAACTACAACTACCTAAACGTAAAGCCACAATAAAATAAAATTGACAATGTTATTCTAAACTTCTCATTAAAGAATACATTTATTCTGTGCATTCTGGGGAATAGAGCTAGCACCTCTGCCTTTGTGTAAGCCAAACTTTTGGTTTGTCCAACTTGATCCACCCTGACCACACTCAATGCACCACATGCATCCGTAGACATTTGATATGGGGCACAACAATGTTGCTACTTCGGTGTTTGAAGTGTGGGCAAAAGTTTGAGCTTTGAACTTTGGCTTGTTACATTCAAGTGGCTGCTGCCATGTATAAATGTTTGGCTTTCAGATCCACAAAACTTTATGCAAAACACACGAAACTTTGCTGAATATGGGCGAACTGTTTGCCGGTTTCTGTATTCTGTTTTCTGTTATTGTTCTGTGGCTGTTTCTATTTCTGCATCATGTGCTGCTGACAAGTTGCGTAATTTCCACCGTCTCTGGATCTGCAATAATATAGATAAAATACAATTTCCTTAAGCAATTTTTGTTTTAATTAATTCTGTATTACTATTTTTTGTGACTCCTACGTGCCTGGAATTCCTCGCTTTGCCTTCCGTTTAATGTCTTCAGCAAAACAAATTTTGCTCCCCCCAAAGGACTGCATTTAATTTTTCCCTTCCATTCGCTATTTTTTCTGCTTCATTTCTTTGTTTGCTGTGCAGTGTAATTAGCCACCTTCTGACCAAGACAGCTGCTGATGCTCCTTCTATTTTTGTACATTTTTCCTATTCCCTGTTGTGCATAAAAAGTTTAAGTTGACATTTTGTTCCAACAGTTTGTAATTTTCTTACCCCTTTTTTCCAAAAGCATTACCATTTTTTCTTTACTATATTTTCTTACTAATTTCTTGCTTTTGTGCATTTTACTTGCAGACTGGTTAATTACATTAGGAAAACGGTTGCGTTTCTGTTTTGCATTTCGGTTTGTTATCCCTTCCGGAATTTACAGTTGTCATTAAAATAAGGTAAGAAGTTCTTTAACAAAAATATCCAAATATGTTCATGAATAAATTTATCAAGTTTTGCGATTGAAAATGTTCTTTTATATAAACAAATCTAGAAAAAAGTTAAGAAAACCAAAGATTTTATTTAAGTTTCATCCTCATTTAAGCTTGCTGCTTTTATATCTATAAATCTCTTCCAGTTCAAGGACTTTAAAGTAATTTCTACAAAATCTCGGAACTTGAGGCAATTAAATCGATTCGAATTTAATGGTAACTTTATTACGTTTCCACATGCTCGATGTAACTGGATGCGGAATATTGTAACACGTGATTCAATTTCGTTCGTCAATTTTAATTGATTGCTTCAATTGGTTTCGGTGCAAAAGCCTCTCATTCTTTCGCCAACTGCAATCCTATCAAGATTTTTATGTCCATAGCCACTTTATTTGCAGACACTTCATCCTGTTTTGGCTGCTGTACTGTTTTGTTTTGACGATTTTTATGCGTTTTTAATGTGTAGAGCAGCTACTCCTTTTATTTTCTTGCTTTTTTTTGGGATTCGGTTGTAATTCGATTTCTAAATGTATCCCAAAGGATTTTTATGTATTTCCACTGTAAGTTTATAGCAGTATTGTTCGCATATGGGCGTTGAGTGCCGCCCCTCACTGAATCGTAAAATTTTCCGATTTAATGCATTTCGCGGAGCCTTAAAGTATGCCACACTAATTAGCATATGAGTTGCGGCTGGCACGGCCACAAACTTACAGCTTATCGCAAATATTCTCAAACCCCGAACTGAAACAGAACCAGAAGCAAATGGGCACCATCCATTAGCCATTAGCCGTGGGGTCGTCGTAAACCTACGACAATATTGACGTAATCGACTTTCAGCTGCCGTCCAGCGACACAATTTAACCACAAATGAGGCTTAGCCGTGGGGCAATGTCACCGGCGCCGCTTACTTCAAAGTCGCCTTCAACTCACCCACCCACCCACACACAATAATATCAAAATTCCCATTCCTCAAGACCCCTTCCCAAGTTCCATCACACATAACAACAAGTCCACAGCCCACCTCAAACAACCACAATTCGGAGGCGGATTGCATTTGTTTTCACATTTCGGGGTGGAGAGACTGGTTTACTTAAACTGAAACAATGAGAAATGTGAATTGACCGAAATGCGGTGGGAAAACCACATTTGGTCGTTACAATCCCCATAAGGAGTCGGTTTACAAGCTAAAATTTATACTATGCTTTAAAAAGTTAATTTAGTTTTGAGAAAACAATATATTACTTACATAGAAAAACATCTACATCTAATATTATCTCCTATTTTATAAAATAATCTTTTGAAAATGTTATAAAATGTTGTTGTTATAAAAATGTTGTGAGATATGTAACTTAACTTCAAAAAAAGGATACCATACTGGTTAGATTCCAAAAACAGTGCATTCATTTCTAAGCTATTTCAAGATAAAATTTATAACGCAATACACCCCCTTATACCCCTCGTTTCCATAATAATTAAGAACCCTCGCCTTGGGGCTTTTGAAGTATTAAACATTGACGAGACCCAACGCCGTGAATTATGCCTTACCATAAACTTATGCACGATGTACAGATGCTGGACATAAAAATTGTGTAAATGAATACTGCGCCCAGTCAGCGGCAATAAAACATTGCGTCAAGTCTGGACCGGGATTAGGATATGGACCTGGATTTCATACCGTTTTAATGGGCGACGACACCCCAAGAAGGCCACCGTGAAGATCTGTGAATTTAGATAAATAAAAATATGACAGCTGACACTAAAACGGAGAGACGCACCAAGTACTCATCATAATTAAAGCCGCGGGGCTGGGTCGCAATAAAACCCTGGAAGGATTCATATGGATAATTAAGTTATGGCGGGTGCCAACAGAAGGGTTAAAGTCTCCCCGCGAATGCAAACCCAATAAAACGATCGTAAAACTTTGGCCGAGCACTCAAAATTTTTAGGAACATGTTCCTTAGGCGCATATTTTAATTTCAAGATGGATTTGTTAAGGAGTTTAGTGGGTGGAGTTGGTCATAAAACTGCGAGTGGACATTAAAAAATGTTCATCTCAATTTGTTTATCAAATGCACTGAGTTTTTGTACAGCTTTAAAAATTTTAATTTGCATAACAACTTATTGGGTTTTTGGGCATTAAATATTGTTTATAAAAAGATATCGGGTCAAAGCTGAAAACCGGTTGAACAAAAATAATGTGCTAATAATAACAGTTTATTAACCCTGTTTTTTGTGAGATGGTGGTTAACCTTACAAATGATTTCCTTTGTTAATTATTGTTATCGAACATTCAGCCAATTATTGAGCTTACAAAATATTTATAATTCATCCATCAATATTCAAAACGGACTAACAAGAGGTTAACAAACCTTAATCTATTTTTAGGTAATCAGGTATTAAATTGAATTTACATTTTGTTTCATCATTAATTGAAATTGGTTTCAAATGCTTGGAAATTGGCTTGAACCGTTTCCTTCCCCGATGTGCCAATCTACTATTAATAAAATCAACACACCCCAACATCCACCAACAATCACACTGGGTTCAACAATCTTCGAACCCCTTCTTCCAGTTCCAATTTGTAATACGAAAAGCCATATCAGTTGGCTGATAGAACAAACTTTTATGCGCTTGTTAACAAAAGCGTGAAATTCAATGCCCGGGACGAGCTGAAGAGTATAAAAAAATAAAAGAAAAATTTACGACACTGCGAATTAAACTTGATTTTTATTTAAATAAATTGCATTTTATATTCCGACCCCAAACCCGATGGCGGGCACAATAATAAGCAGGCAACGCTCATAATTTGCACCGGAATCCGATGATGATGCTGGCGGATAATGGTGATATGGGGAGTGTATGTATTTTCCCCAGGATAAGGGCAGACCGAGTGACTGACTGGCGACTGGCTGCTGGCTGCTTTATGCAGTTTTATTTATTACAGCGCCAGGAAATGTTTGTTGATTTTCCGCTGCTCGGCTGGCACAATAAAAATCAACGCCAGCCAGAAATTATTTTCTAGACGAACGCGCCCCAAATCACATAAAAATGAGCAGGCAGAAAATACTTCAAATTGTACAGAATTCGTTTTTTTATATATCATTAAAAACGGAAATGTAATGCGTCGCAAAGCAGCGCATCCGTTTTGAAAAGAACCAAGTGAAACGGATTGATAAGGTTGTGTTCAAAAGCCTTAACGGCTGAAATGGCACTTATTCAGAAAAAAGTCATTAATTTCGAATGCTTGCATTTCTCTTACAATAAATTGAAGAAATTTAGTTATAAGGAATAAATAAACATCATTGAGCTACTTTCAAAAACTAACAATTAATTATTTTCGATAATTAATCTTAAGAAATTACAAAAAAAAATGATGAGAGAAAATCATGCCGAAGTTTATAAACAAGCTAATGTCATAAACAAAATTGATTTATTAATATGTTTGTTTGGTCAAATCAATCATAGTTTTTGTTATTTCACTCCGGACACACCAGAATTTTTAGCCGGAATATTACAAAAAAAAACGACACAATGTAGTATCTAAATAATAAGCTAACTTTATTTACCAAGCTAACACACTCTTGGCTGGCCTCAATCGATTTTCTTCACTTTACAAAGGTAGGGTTCAACGGTGTGGAGGGTGATCACAAAGTTGAGCTTCATTTTCGCCTGTCGCTCGCCCAGAGGCTCAAACAGGAAGTTTCTCAGCAGGTGGGCCAGAACCACCTTGAGCATTACCATCGCATAACGCTGGCCCAAACAACTCCGTGCCCCCGCCATAAAGGGTATAAACGTGGTGGCCTCAATCTTGGGCTTCGCTCCATTCGCCCATCGATCCGGCTTGAAGACCAATGGATCCGGAAAGAAATCCTTGCAACGTCCCATGTAAATTGGCGAGATGATCACATCACTACCCTTGGGTATGAAAAAGTCATCTGGAAGCGTAAAATATTCAAGTTATAAGAAATGCAAAGGCAAATGATTAAGATCTTTAAAATGCCCAAATATTTATAAGAAAATTTTAATTTAAAATATTTTTAAATATTAAAATGTTTAAAATATTTTATTTACTTACTAATTTGACAGTTGGCAGTGGCTCTTCTGGCGGTGAGTGGACCCGAAGGATACATGCGAAGTGTCTCTTTTACACAAGCCTCGATGAACTCCAGTTGACGCACTTGCTCCATGGTGATGGGTTCGCTTTTGTCTCGGCCACATACCGACCACACCTCCTCCCGACACCGCTCCTGATGTTCCGGATGAAGCGTCATGTTGTACATGAAGAACTTGAGAGTGGTGGCCGTGAGATCAAAGCCCCCGAATATAATGGTATCCACTTCCTCACGAATATCCTTGACCGTTAAGGGTTGACCGGCAGGATCTTTTGCCAGGAGCAGGCTATTCAGAAAACAGTGTGTCGGCCTAGATCCCTTCGTTTCCGCATTCTTAGTGCTCTCCTCGTTGCGATTCTCCTCATCCTGACTGATCTCATCCATACGCTTCTGGATAATGCCCTCCGTGAAACCGTGAAGTATTTTAACCAACTCTTGTTCGCGCTTAAAATGTGACGTACGGCGGAAAATATACGAAATGCGATAGAAGAGGTTTTTTAGCCGCTTATCGATGATCACAAGAATTCTGTAAAACGGCACACAAATACAAAATCAGTGCTTGGGCACTGGGAATTTAATATCTAAAAAACCGTGTATTGTTTAGGTAAGTAGTGTTTGGGGATGTTCTGGAGTACAAGTTTGTCAGTTGAAATATACCTATGTTACTTACTCTTGAACAGCATCGAGGTAGTCCGACTTGACGTCCGTTTGAGAATCCACAGAAACCCCGAGGGCCGTTTCACAAATAGTGTCCAACGTAAAGCAACTAATCAACTTAAGGAAATCCAGCGACTCCCCGGATTCCGCAAACTTCGCAA